ACGAACTTGTTGATGTAGAAATTGAACTCACTGGTTTTGTTTCTGTACTTTCAATTTCGATTTCAAAGATGAATGTAAAAGTTAAATTGACCGGCCAGTAACTTCCGGATTTTTATGACGAAAAAAAAGTTTGGGTCGGCGATTAAAATTAGGGTCGGTCGGGTAACCGTAAACAAACATATTTTTTTGTTACGCCTAATGTGTAGAATGATAATATCAATGAAATATGTCAATATTGTTCCTGAACAAACTTGCGCTCTATAAATTTTAAAGCTAAAATTGTTGAAATTTTGTCCATTTTGTCGTCTTTCTGAAAAAGGATATAAAATCGGACTAGTTTGTGACGTCATAAAAATAAAAATTGTGAATACACTGCTTTGACACTATAATATTTTCTGTTAATTTATATTTCTCATACATTTTATTGAATTCAGTACATTTCAGGAAGTTTTCAAAATTTGACTTTTGTGGGGGCAAATATATGCAATATACCGCATATAGTTCTTTATAATATAATTTTTTTTCTAATATCTACTATAATTCACATTGTTTAAAAAAAAACAAATCTGCAGACAAAGACAATCTCAAAACTAACAAGCAGTAACCTACGTCTTGAATTAAATTAATTAATTCATGTACGTGTGCAAGAAAACATTTGTTAAAACACTTGTATGTCTGAGGCCAACCGTTAATAAGACAGTGTTAGGCCTGGAGCACCGTTTAACAGCCTGTATTGTCAACCCCGTGTCTGTGCACTTCTACGTCAGTAGAGTTAATTACAACACCTAGAGATTTTCATTACCTGCAACAGTGCTTAATATTGACACTCTTTGGTAAAGACACTTTTTAAAATTTTTATTTTTAAAAATTTTTAAATTTAAGTGACATTATATATTTTAAGATAGAAATGAAAAAAAAAGGTTAGATTGTTGGTACAAATCCTTTTTTAAGACATTTTCAACAGTGAAACTAATTTATTTATTGAATAAAAGTGATTTTTTTTTAAAAATGTGAAAAAAAATGTTCAAGTGACATTTTGACACTGTGTGAAAGAATACTAGAAGTGTGAAAAAACTTGATTTTTCTTCCCTTCATGGAGGTGGAAACATTTTCCAGACTGCCTTTTATATAAGATATATACAGAGATAATAAACCATACTGACAGTAACTTAGACAGACAAAGTCCCTGTAAATACGTAGATGAAATTTATGTTTACAATGTTTTTAATCTCACAATCTCGAAGCTACATTTGAATATAAATTCTCAACTGCTCAACTTTGACGTCACACCCTATGACGTACTACAAAAATACGGAGGAAAAAACCTAGAAAAAAAACCTCTTTATATACATCTTTATTTAGATTATTGATTAACAACTCTGTGTTTGAAAAACTGTCCTTTGATACTTTTGGCCTTACCAGGGGTAATTTTGAGAAAAATGGAGTCAATTTTGAAATAGGGACTGGGTATACTACACCTTCATGCTACAGATCTGAAGCCCTGAGCAAAATCACATACTGATGAGGTCAAGATATTTGAGGATTTAAGATATTGAGTGTGAAATACTAAAAAAATAAGTGGTTGGGACTTCCAAATCAGTTCAGCATATCTGTGGTATTCAAGATATTGGTGTTCTAGATGCTGAAGTTCAACTGTAGTTCAATTTTTAGTTCCTAAAATGAAGTTTATTTTAAGAAAAAAAAAACAAATTCTGTGAGTTACAAGAATAATAAATTAAAAATTTTACTGTAGAAGTTTTTAAAAAAAATAAACAAAACTTTTTAAACAGTGCAGAGGTTTAAAGTGGTTTTTGATGCTTTATAGGATGCATGTTCAACAGAAATTAATTGTCACCAAAGGAAAGACATGAAAAGTTTGAAATACACCAAGTAATTGCTCGTTAAGGGAAGGGATGAATCATGTAATAACCAAAGGATGTAAAATGTTCAACAGCAGAGTGACTAACTTAAAATGGATTTCTTCTCAATGTTACTGTCAGACATTGTGTTACATCGGTACGTCACAGTAATTGTCTCTTGTCAGTCAGTGACCAAGAAGTTGTCATTCAAAAAATAAGACATTCTTTTCTATTTTCATTTGGAAAACATTAAAGACATTAACTTTGTTGAATTTAAAATATTTTATTAGGAAACTTTCAAATAAACTATTAAATTTATCAGATGAGGCTTATTATAGTTTATTATAGTTGAAATTGAGAAAATTGTGAACTTGTCGCTGTTCGATCAACTTATAGTTCAATCACGTGCAGAAATAATGTGATCCCTTTGTCTTATGGAATGAATAATTTATATCAAGGACGGCTTATTGATAAAATAATGAGCAATTCTTGATTAGTTACAATTTGTTAATGAGTGGGAAGTGTCTTACAGGTAAATTTTTATTTTCTTCGTTATTCATTTCAAAAATGTAAAGGTTTCTCCGATTTTGATTTAAACTTTTAGAAGTATATTAACATTAAAAAAATTTAGAATTAATTAAAATAAGGGAAAACCTTTTGAAATAAAAATTAATTTGATGAAAAGATAAGAGGTAATTAATTAAAATTCATTTGATACAAAACTCATTGTTTATCGCAAAATAATGTCTCTATCTTGACAGCCAAAGTTCTTTGAAAGATTTTGTAATATAAGGACTTCTACCAGAGTCATCTGTCAAGGCGTTTGAACAGTTTATCCATTGATCAAGTATCTTGACCAGCAATATAGGAAGTTATAAGCAGATCAGGTGAAAATATGAAAGAAGTCCTGTTTTCGGCCTGTCTGGTCACTGACTGATTTATGGCTCCAGGGGGTGAATGCAGACCTGGCCAGAGATACAGAAAAAGGGGCCACTCATTGGTGCAGTAGGTCAGCATGTTCAAGGTGGAGCAGGGATATCAGAATCGCTCCCGATCCCGGAATAGTCTCGTTAACCTCTGGGATGATTTCTCCAAGTTCCGACGCTCCCTGCAGCTGAGGAAACTGAAGGTGTGATAAGTGAATTTTATTCATTTTTTTTTCTTTTGAAAAAAAAAAAAATTTTGGAAGAAGGTCCTTATATTGGTAATCATTATTGAATGTGTCAGTTTTCATGTGGATTTCAAATTTTACATAAAATTGTTCAGGATTTGAGTCGGAAATACAGTGATTATTAGGTGCTGTTGTGAAACTGACAGGCACTTGGTTCATTTGCTTTTGCGGTTTTGGTGATTGAGGTTTATTCCATGTTTGGAGCTTTCCATTTTCTCTAATCACTTGTATTGCATCTGTCACTTGCAACCATGTATATTTTTGTAGTCTAAGATGTTTTATTTCCTGAAGATTTAATCTTTTGACATGAATGAAGCTGCGTAAAAAAAAACTTAATTGTTCTAAATTTATGAAAATAAGCATTGTATTATAATTTTAATAGGGGGGAATTTTAAGTAATGTGCTGCGCATATTTTGTATTAACTAGGAATATATTCTATGATTTGTTCTGGTCCTGTTTTCTGTCAGATTTTTTTATTTACCTAATTAATTTAAAAGCTTGTTTAAATGTAAATATTTAGGGAAATTAGAGAAGAGTTATGGTTTTGAGGATATGTAGTATCATCTGCTTTTGAAAAGTCCTTGACAATATTAATAGCTAGCATGTTAGATAATGGTCCAGTAAATTTTAGTCTTTTTGTAATTTATTAAAAAAATTAGGAATTTAAAAATAGTAAATTTTTACTTGAGACTTTGTAGTTTTTGTTTTAAATACATTATGTCTATCTTGAACAGCTAGTTTAATTCTGAGCAAAGATGATGGTTGAGACACTGAAGTTTGAAGTTGAGCTAAAATTTCATATAGAATAGCAAATGTTTCAAAAGGAATTTTTGTTTCAATCTTCTCAGAATCTACTAAATCTTTTAACTTGGATGTTTGTACCAGTGTTATACTTGCATATACAGTATCTTGCACTTCATGCACCATTTAAGTGGATGTGAGGAGTAAGGTAGAACTAGAACCTGTAGCTATAAATAATTTCCATACCTGCTATATATATCTTCAAGGCTGATTGGGAAAGCACATCCCCATGCCCTGACAGCATTATCTCCATTTTATACTAGCGACCCCATGCTTACTCAGCAGTATATATATGTGTCTACCTCTTGATGTTGATTTATGGCTATTTGATGTCCGGCAGTTAGTCATATTGAAACTTTTGGTTTAGAGTTAGAAAGTGTGTGGCTTTGATTTTTTGTTTTCTTTGAGATTGTTTGAAGAAAAAATCAAGTCAATGAGCATAAATTATTATAGTGGAAAATGTGGATATTTTGTAATTTTTTTTTCAATAAAACTTTTCAAAGACTGCATAGGGTAGAAAATATAAATCAATGTGGTTCTATAGCTAAAATGAAAATACCATGTCCTAACATAACAGCAACCAATCTTATAGTATTGAAATTTACCAAAAGTATGATAAAAGGTATATCTTCCTCATGACATGAAAATACAATAAACACATATATTCAACTCAAAAAGTTATAGATGGAAAAGATCACTTTATTTTGTCTTAATTTGCATTACCAGGTAATTTGGCTGAAAATGATGGGAAATTATATTGTTCTCAGTTATAGTTTCCTACTTGTACTCAAATCTAAAATTCTGGTCGTGAACTCTGGTTGGTTAGTTGTCACAAAGAACAAATGATACTGAAGGTTTTACAGGTGCGTACTTGCGATCTCTGATAGAGGGGGCTGCAGTCATTTTTCGAAGTGACAGCCTCATTAGCTGCTGCCTGGTTAAAGTTCATTTCCATTTTAAATAAGCAGGAGACAATTATAAAGTTTACATTAGACTTTTATTAAACCAGCAGAGTTACGGAGAGTAATAATGTGTGTACTAATAAACTTTCGTAGATTACAAAGAACGAAGACAGTTACCTCTATATAATTATTGTGGAACATGGGAGAATGTTGAATAATATAGGACTGAGTTAGATGCAACTTCTGTGATGCTTGAAACTAATTATCAAGTCTAGATTTGTGAAAGTGAGTGATACCATTTAAGATGGGAAAAAAGGCAAGAGATCCATTTTCAGCCTCAGAATATAGGAAGCAGCGCAGTACGAAGCGATCCATTGGAAGGACCCAAAGCTCAACAAGTCTCGCCTCCCTTTGGGAGGGCATTTCAATCATTCGGCGCTCATTCTTGCCCAAAGTACAGGTTTGAATGGATGTGTTTGATAATTCATTGATGAAAATATAAGATACCTGTTTATTAAGTTTGCGATGTTAATTGTATAAAAGATATTTCTCAGAAACTGCAGACATACATTCTAGCATTAGTTTTCCAGGTGTCTTGTAATTTGGTCTATAAAGGTACATAGATTTTGTCTCTGGAAATCTGAGAGGTGACAAGGTTTATAAGGCAGTGTCTTAAGTTTATAGCTGACCCTTAGCCTTTGGCTAGTGTATTCTTTGTTGATGGACAGATGTCTTGATCTTGAATGCCAGTACTGTTGTTAACATTAATTGATTTGTCTCTATACATGCACCCAACACCTTTGCTCCATATAACTTTGTAATTAACAAATTTGGGGCAAATTGATGATAATTTATATCTTTTCCTTTTCAATGCATATAGATTTGTAATATTTTTCATGTAATATGTACAAATTTTGTCCAGTCAGGATAGATTTAATACATATATGTTCATGAATATCAACTGATGTACTTGACATTGTTTTTGTTTAACATGTATAAATTCATAAATAGATCATTAAAACTGGAAAAAGTTAAGCATAATGATCCGGTATTCTAAAAATCTAACAATTAATTAGGAAAAACTTCTACCGTGTAATTTTTTATTTTGCCTGTGACATACTTTTTTGTGTGTATTGCATGATGTACTGTTCCAGAATTGTTTTTGTTTAATTTTGAGTTTTTTTTTAATTGTTTTTACATAACGGATGATAGCCTACGAGGACAAATGCACTTATCACAAAATCCTTAACCCCCTCCCCCCCTTATCCCTGATTTCTATCTACTAATTTTTTTGTTTATCTAATCATTATTAAAATATTCTGGTGATATTTACAAAACAAGGAAATAGAGTTCTGTAAAGGAGTCTCATTTTCAAGAAAAAATGAGTAATCAGTTGAAAGAAAGGGATATTGAAACATGGTGGTACAAGATGTTAACACCTGTACTATATGCTAATAATGAAACCCTGCATGGTGGTACATTAGAACTGTTACTGACTATGTTAATGATGAAACCATGCAACATAATTAATGGGGCATCTTGTTAATAGATCTTACTGTAAAGGATGACAATTAAGAGTTGACAATAATTTACAGATTCTAGTACTTGTTACTAACAAATGAAAACCTTTAAGAATTAATGTATAATTTGTATGCCATTTTAATTTTTCTCATGCGATATGCATTGTTCTAACATATGAATATAACTATTACAATTTTATGAAGTGTTCATGCTTTTGATTTTTCTATTTTTTTCATTCAAAGAATCAGAAATCATGGATTGAAAAGACCTTCTTCAAAAGAGACTGCATCAAATTCATAAAGAGTTCAAGAGACTCTGGAAGGCAAGTGTTTAAAAACAAATGGCAATTAAAAATTTAGGTAGACATATTTATGACATACCCACTGTGTTTTAATACTCAATTTTACTCTTAAATTCATACAATTACATGACAGTGTTATAAGAATAAATATATATATATAGTTTTTGTCCAATTTAGTGTGCATCTATAGGTAAGAATTATTTTTGCTCAGAAGAGAAACTGAATGCATGAGTTAATTGTACAGGTGTTCCTGTGGCAGACCAGCAAGTTGGCATGCAACAGAGATCAAATCAACAGACAGTCCCAGCCACATTGAGAGGTGGCACCCCTACTCCCACACAGAAAGCAAACCTACGGATGCTTATGGCACCCTAGAATTCCAGGGGGCACCCCATCCCAGCAAGGCTCAGGTTAGCTCACGCAGACAGGGTTTATACATTGTTACACTTTTTAGAGAATATGAATGTCAGCAGATAACTTTTCATTTCAAGTTGAAGAGGGGAGAGGGGAGGTTCTTTGACAGTCAAAATTTTACTACAATATAAGATTCAACGAACTAAGTTAATTACCATTCATTTCAATGTTTCAAGTTTGACCCGCAATATCCATACAAAAACATAGTGCAGACCTAAAATTTACAACAGTATCTTACCAATAAAGAAAATATCTGTTAAGAAAATAAAACTAATACAGGTTATATTTTGTGACAGTTTAAATTTATTTTGATTTCAACAATATTTATTTGGGATACTAAATTTCATCAAATTTGAGATACGTACTTTTCATTTCAGAAAACATAGAGCACAAGCTTGCCTATCTGAGATTTTTACACACAAGATGCATCTGATACTATTTGTTCTATGATATGCTCTAAAATTGATTAAAATTTGCATAAAAATGAGAAAATTTGGAAATTTATATTTTCTGACCTTCCTGTGACCTCTATGTATCCAATAACTTAGAAGCAATACTCATTTTGTGGCAGGGGTGATAAATGGTTTTCAGCTTGCATCACTCTAAAAGACACCCCAAACCAGGGACCAAAAAGGGTTCTTATCATACCTTGTCCTTTATAAAAAAAAATTTTTTAAATAAAATAAAAAAACAAAAATAAAAACCCAAAACAAAACACCCCCACAGTTAAAAGGTTACGCAGAGGACACCATAGTATTTGAATGACCTTTGACCTTTCAAATTGACCTTGACCTGATTGTACATAAAAATTAAGACTCCTTGTACATACAACATACATAATATCAGGTCTCTACTTTTAAGGAATCAAAAGTTACAATCTTATAACAGATGTTTATATCATTTTGAGATAAAAAAAAACATTCTTATTATAGGCCCCTGAATGTCTTATATAACACTTCTCAGGGTTTTTTAAAACAAAAATTTTAAGACAAATACATGCCATAATTTACAATTTCTTTACATGGATAATTAATTATTGACATGGTAATAGATTCATTCATTTTTTATCTTCATTTTAAAGTGATATGAGCTAAAATTTAATTCACATATTCTAACTACCTTTAAATGCATATCTAACTAAAGAGCATTCTAAATCTAAACACATGTATTTGAATTAACCACTATAAGTGACATATGATCTTATTTACTCCTAATCTGGCAGTACAAGTCAACAACATTAATGTTCTGCAACAGCAAGGTTCATTAGGATAGTGAACTTCTGAGATCATTACGTAAATGTTAACCACAGAATGATGTCACAGAATATATTTACAGTGGATAAATAAACTTCAGTGTCTGTTAAATTTATAGAAACAAGTATGATAAAAAATACCAGGCCAGAACTATTCAGTCTATTGCATTATAATATGTCATAAGAGTAGATTTTTATGACTTTATATATTAAGTGACAATTTTTGCAGGGTTGAGAAAATCTTTTTGTTAGGTAGATTTTATGGGAAATTAATGTTATGAACAATAAAGAATTACAGGATTTTTGCTTTTTGGTCTATTCACTTTGTAAAAACATCAAGACTACATTGTATTACTTTTTAAAAAAATCAAATTTTTGTTCAATAAACATTGTAATGCTTTTCAGTAAGAAGATTTAAGATACATGTATATGTCTTTCCTTCAAATTTAACCTCTAATTCTCAAAATACTTGTTTGCTATCCTTTCAGTATGTGAGACTGAGCAGTTTTGATACCAAAGCTGAGAATGTGTTACAGCTTCTGACCAAACACTGGGGATTGGAACTCCCCAAACTTCTTATCACTGTACAGGGAGGAATCCTTAACTTTGATCTCCAGCCCAAATTAAAGCGGGTCTTCCGAAAAGGACTCCTGAAGGCTGCCAAGACAACAGGGGCCTGGATAATAACGGGAGGAACCAATACTGGTATACACCGAATAATGTCATAGCAGCTAGAGTAGATCTGTGTTCATAGATTGTCTTATTTATCTCAGACTTTGTGTTAGGAGTTAAGACCTTTCCTGTCAACCAAAAGTTAACTGCATATAAACAGGAATATCAGATTAAGTGGAAGTCTAGTCTATATTGTATTGTCTGTTTGTTTAATGTTCCTTTTAAGAATATAATATGTTATGGTGTTTTAAACCCTCAAGCAACAGAAGGTTTTCAGTATTAACTGCATCTTTGTTTTTCCACCATCTAAACTAAAAGTTTAAAAGTAAGAACACGTATATAAAAAAAGAAAAAAAACTTCTCTTGTTTTAGCAATGTAAAATCATAATAAGATTGCAAACTTACTAGATCAGAAAAGGAAACAATGAATTTTTCATCAGTCACTCTATTTCAATATTTCCTAGTGTCATAGAATTTTAGCATTAATGTAATTGCTGTTGTTGTATTTTGACTTTTTGATGTTCCTTGTCTGATTTAGGTGTTACTAGACACGTTGGGGATGCTATCAGTGACCGTACCACTAAACTGAAGAACAAAGTAGTGGCAATAGGCATAGCACCATGGGGAATTGTGGAAAACAAAGAGGAGCTGATTGGAAAAGATGTAAATTCTTTTTTATGTTACTCTTTTTTATCATGTGTCAGATAAAACAACATTTCCTGACCATTTTTATGTGCTAAAATGTTGAATTTTTAATATACACTTCAGTGCAGTACATCTTGATTTATTTGCACAAGATTAAAAAAAAAATTGAAGGTCACTTTTGCAAGAAATATTAAAACTTAAATTAGCAAGGTAATTAGAAATTAAAATGCATGTATTCATACCATGTCAAGCATGTTGGATAAATATTATATGACATATAACTTATATGGTTAAAAAAATTTATGGTTTTATATCCATCAAATATAAGCATCTTAAATTTTGGTCAGAATGCAAAGTAAAATGTGGATTAATGATGTTTTTCTGACCCCTCCTCTGTTGTAGGTAACTTCTATTAAATATAGTCATTTAACTACATATAAGGAAATTGATGTGCAGTGTACGTGTTCAAGACATTGTCAGTGCTTACTTGGCCTTGACTTTTGATCCTCATTTTAGTAAATTAACAAAATGTACCATGTAGAGGATGACATATTTTCATCATTATCTTTAGCATGTTTCAAAGTTGAGAGTAAACTAAGGTGATTTTTTCATATTTATTTATTTAAGTTGACATTAATTAGCATTGAATTTGGACATTTATTAAAAGAAAAAATATTGCTTATGAGCAATATGGAAGGTCATTCTCATTATCATTCTATCTCAGTACATAAGATAATTTGAAGGCATGTCAGATACAGTAGAACTTGTTTAATCCAGATGTTGTGTATTCTGAAATATGGTCTAATACGATCTAAACATAAAGGCCTTTTCAGAAGGAACCAGTGTTGTCTAGATTAGACAGGATTTACTGTACCACTATTAAAATTAACCATGACCTAAGAACTTGAAGTTCTTAACGGGGAAAATATTAGAAAGATCCATTTTGATAATAATGATGGTTGACATTAACCTTTCCTGTGGTTACTTGAAGTTGTTGATTTATTATTTAAGAAGCAATTAATATATTAAGTACCAAACTGTATGTTGATTGTAGATTACCTTTACATTTTTGGCCATAGTATTCTTCTTACTTAACCAGTAAATTAGATTTGAATTGTACAACTTACATTTCACTTTTGAAAATTTTGAAAATAAAAAAATATTATCTGTCATCTAATAATAGATAGTTATTTACTTGAATCTTTTGAAAATAAGTTGTCCCAAAATTTGGTGATCTACAGTATTTGGATTCATCACCACAAGTCACCATGGTTACAACCATTCACTTCAGTCTTTTAATTTAAGTAAATAGACAATGCATACTGTTTCATTGTTTTGTCCCTTAATTTTAGGTTGTTGTGCCATATCACTGTGTATCCTCACCTAAAAGTAACTATGCGGTTTTGAACAGCAACCATTCCTACTTCCTGTTGGTAGACAATGGGACTGTTGGAAAATATGGAGGGGAAATTATATTCAGGAAAAGACTGGAGAGATTCATTGCACAGCAAAAAATCTCCATAAGTAAGTGTTGTAGTATAGATAGCATGAATGCCAGATTAGTATGCTAAGATTGTACTGTATACAGGGAAATTTTTGCCCCCATTTTATTTTCGCCCCTTTTGCCCTCTTCCTGATTGGGTGAATTTAAAACGGTGCGAATTCAAATTACACAGCATAATTTCTTAAACAAATCTATAACTGGGCGAATTTAAAATGGGGCAAAATTATTCGCAAGTGCAAAAGGGCGAAAACAACACGGGGCGAAAATAACCCTGTATACAGTATCTGCAACTATTTAAGTTCAAGTGAGTTCATTTCTCTGGAAGAGCAAGGTGATTTGTGAGCATTGTAACAAATATGTTCCTAGGGATTTTCTTCATTCAAGTTTACTTTTTATAGTTTTTTAAGTTTATTGTTAGCTTTGAAATTCAGATTTGAGGGTACAATACCCAGGATGATGTAAAGAATACAGTACTTTTTGTTGTCAACAGTCATTGGTTTGAATAACTTCATAGGTATTGTACAAGGATAGATCTTAGGTTCAATAAAAGTTATTTCTTTTGTTTTTATTTGTTAGATTTTATGAGACAGTCTTGGAGTTTTTATTGATTAAGATGTGAAACTGTTTTTTATGTCTGTCTCTGGGAAAATGTTATGACTATAAATAACCGATTAACTTTGTCTGACATTCTTTGTCTGACATTCACATTTCCTTCATTCATAAAAAATGTTAAATCTTAAGAGTGCATAGACCATGTGCTGAAGACATTTTTAGGAGCAATGGATATAGATTTATTTCTTTCCTGTTGGTGTAATATCTTATTTATGTTCTTTTAATGCTAGAAATGGAATCACATTGAATAATTTTGCCATTATTCATAGTGGAAAGAAAAACAGGAAATCATTTTAGCTCACCTGAGCTGAAAGCTCAAGTGAGCTTTTCTGATCACAATGTGTCTGCATTCCATCTGTCCATCCATCCATCTGTCTGTAAGCTTTTCACATTTACAAGAACCACTAAGACAATTTTAACTAAACTTGCCACAAAGCAATGCCCTAATTTAAGGGGAGATAATATAGAAGTGCTGAAAATTAGTGGCATGTTTTAAAAATCTTCTCAAGAACCACTGTGCCAGGAAAGGTGAAATTTATGTAGGAGTATCCTCAGGTAGTGCACATTGGAATTTGTTCAAATCATGACACCCCCCCCCCTTCAGGAGTAGGGAATGGCCACAAGTGACAATCATAGTTTTACATAGAAATAAATAGGAAAAATCTTTAAAAATCTTCCCAAGAACAGCAAAGCCATGATTCTTCATATTTATAAAGAAGCATTCTCATGTAGTGTAGATTGAAGTTTGTTCAATACATGACCCTTGGAGGTAGGGCAGGGCCACAGGGGACAATCAAAGTCTTACATAGAAATATACTGGAAAATTCTTTTAAAATCTTTTTTTCTCAAAAATTTCAAAAATGATTGGTCATTTTTATTTGGAAGTATCCTCAGGTAGTGTAGATTGAAGTTTGTTCAAGTCATGACCCCCAGGGGTAGGATGGAGTCACAAAAGATGATCAAAGTTCCGCATAAAAATATATAGGAAAAATCTTTTCAAAAATCTTCTTAACAACAGGATCCATGATTGATCAAATTTATTTGGAAGCCCCTTTAGGTAGTGTAGATTCAAGTTTGTTCAAATCATGCCCCCAGGGGTAGAGTGGGGGCCATAATAGAAGGCAAACCTTATAGGGGAAATTTTTTTTTCAAATTCTTTTAAAGCAATGATTTTTCAAAGAAATATGGTAAAATATTCAGTTTAAGTAGATTCAAGTTCAAATCATGCCTCATCCTCGTAGGGATAGGCTGAGACCACTCACAAAATACTGAACTGCATAGCCAAAGTGCTGATGTATGGCCCATTGGCCTCTATATATGGTTTCCATAAAAATAAACATAAACAATATGTTTAAAATTGAAACTAAATATTAAATCTTTTCATAACTTAAGATTTGAACTATTAAGACATTATTTTCATAAGGAAATATTTTTTTTAGATTCCTTGTACTGGTACTTCTGTTAATAACATCAAGCCATTATGTCTCTGTTTTGAATTTAAGTTTGAAATCACAAGATCAGAACCCTGCATGTGACAGGCTTTCAGTTTATGCTGGTAATTTATGTTGATGGCGGTGTTTCTAACTTTGTCTAAAGGCCATCAGGGCTTTTCCTCTCTTGTTAATGATCTTTCTTTCTGAAATGCAAAAAAATGTGAACATCATTGATTTTTTTATTCCTTAGGGATGCTGAGAAGTCAAATAAAATAAATAATTAATTCATGGTCAGTCTCTCACTTTTCTAATAAGACATTTTCCGTCCAGATAGATGAATGTCTCCATGTGTTTGTATGAAATAATTTGATGATGCGTTGTTTTTGTCTTTTCCAAAGAAACGTGGGAGTATGTCCAGTCAGAGCTAGCTTCAGGCTTCTATCATTAGTTCACTGGTCTCAGAAGCTTTAAAGCAGGGATTTAAATGAGAAAAAGCAGAATTTCCCGGATTCAAGAGAAAGATAGAAATTTTATTTTAGTTGTTAGATTGGTTTTTCCCCAAAATGAATAAGACTTAGAATAGGCAATGATATACTTTATTTTTAAAACATGCACTTGATGCTCATCTTAGATTTGAATGCATTGACGTAGATAAGTGTCAAACATGTCACTTGATAAGGAAGAATGCCTTGATATGCAGTGATCATAAATAATACTTCATGCAGTGATGTATGACATATAAATGCATTTTATTTATTGAGAAGTCAGATTACACCATTTCCTAGAGAACAAAACTTTTGAAAGAATTCTGATGACCTTCCATGTAATGAACAACAGTCTTTGACAAAATAATACAAAGTTATCAGTCAACAAACTTGAGTATTGCTCTTGAATTATAATATTTATGATAAACTTCCAACTTGATTAATTTAGAATTTTATTACAGTGTTATCCTTAATTTAGGATTGGAGGTTAAGCTTCATTCATATTATTGTAAAGCATAAAAGTTTAGACATTTATATCAAAGAAAAATTTTATACAATGGAAGTTACTGTAGTAAATTAAATCATAATGCGTAGATCAAGGAGAAATTTCCGTCGTATTTTACTAAATTGTTGTCATCAAGAGTCGAACTGAAATATTAGAAATTTCTATTAGAATTGGAAATTAAGTTAAAATTCATGAAATTTTACAGCTAGGGCCAAATAGTGTCCTTAGTGAACCTTCTTTGTTCTAGTTAATAGCAGATTTCAAAACTAAGAAGTGGGGTTTACAAGTTTTGGAGTTGTACAGTACTTTATTTTCTATCGTGCAATTAGATATACTTTGATTGCATTTTAATTCTAAACAATATGGTAATTTCCACTATAATGCTGCAAGAAAAATAAATTGGTTTTCCACATATGCTTTATGAAATTTATGCCCACCCATAATCAATCTTGTATGTCAGAAGAATGCAGTTGATAAGAATTGCTTCATTTTAATATATTGTATACCATTAGAATACTGCTCAGGCAAATTTTGGACGGCTATATTGGCATACTCGGCTAGAAGCTTTGAGACTTCTAGAAATTTGGTTTTAAAAATCTCATTTACCGGTCACCAGATTTAATGACCAAAACTGGGATGACTCTTAAAGCTGTGATTACTTGCATGGAAGGAAGTTTTGCCTGTTTTCTCAATCTCCATTTGTCTTATTATTGATAGTTATACAAACTCCTAGTCTTACTTCCAATTTTATGACCTCATTATGGTATGCCAATGACTTCTAATCTTTTGTGACAGCTAGTTTACTTGAAGTCATCTTCAGCAGCCCAAAAATAAAAAAAGATTTTCCATTCTAAGGATTTTATCGACACCTAGAACTAAGACTCATGTAGTTAGAAAGGTCCATCTGAATGTCTCTGATCTGCTCTCTTTTGAATACCCATGGTAGACATATTTTGGGGGGGGGGGGGTTTAAACACTTTTTTTATTTCAAAGGTATATTCAGTATCCATATTCATATCCATAGGACTTGTAGAATAAAATTGCTTCTATTGAATTGATTTTTCTTAGCCTTAATTTATAAAGCAATAATCTTGAGAGTGTTGGAATTTTATCATCAACGAAAACAAACACTGTGCAGTTCTCTAAAAGGCCTCATAAATCTGTTTTAAAGCTAATTTTCATGTTATTGATATCATAACTGCACATCAAGTAATAGTTTGTATGGATTGAATGTCATGAGAGCATGGCTATCAGCTGTCATATTGAACTGTTAGCCCATTCCATTAAAGGGAGATAGCCTTAGTGATGCAGTAATAGCTACTGCGATTAGTTTACACTCTGTCTGTCACCGAGTTGGGGGAAATCAGGCCTATGATTTCTTGGCTGACTTCTCTTAAAACAATGAATATGAGAATGGATGAGGCCATTCTACATGTAATTAGAACCATGTGTTGTCAACAAATCCTTCAGTTGTCCCAATGAGTAGGATGAATGGGTAGTAGACATGTAACTTATAGGCCTTTTGGCAGTATTGAATGTTAAAAGGGTTCATCATGGTGCCATTTGTATTTGATAAGTACAGAATTATGGTATATTGATTCTAAACTCTAGTTTATATCCAGTTTGTATCTACTTGATACAATGTAATTAGTACACAGTGAATAATCTAGGGAATCTTCCAAATGATATTGTTATAATCAGCATATTTTTTCATAAGAAAATATGGGTTGTCAACTATCATAATACACCATGTGCATTAATTTTACAAAGTTTTTCATAAGAGTAGATAAAGGGGGGGGGGGAGAGATCTGCTGTAAACTAACAGCAGAATCATAGTTACCCTTATGAAATTTTCCAAGCAGATTTTCCCCACTTAATTGCATAAATTAAGTTCTCACAAATAAAAAGAGATTTATTTACTGTAGTATTTAGTTCATACACAAAAAAGTGTATAGAAAGAATACATTTTTATTTTGATATTAATGTGTTGCTTTTCATTTTAGTTCATTTATTACATTGCGATTAGAAATACTAGTTATGCGTATCACCAATAAAGTACATGATCTTGATCTACCTGCAGTTGTTCTGTCATTACAGCCAGTGGTGTGAAGGGGCGTGGTGTACCAGTAATCTGTGTGGTGCTGGAAGGTGGTGCCAACACCATCCGCTCTGTTCTGGAGTATGTGACAGACAAACCACCGGTACCTGTGGTGGTCTGTGATGGGAGCGGTAGAGCTGCAGATCTCCTGGCATTCACACACAAATATGCTCAGGAAGATGGGTAGGTGAACCAAAGGTTTCACAAAACTGCAAGACCATGCATTATGACATAGAATTTATCTATTGTTAGTTTTAGTAGTTTTTTTGTAGTTAAAGAGTCTGTACTCTGGGTTTCCTGTCAGATTAAGATAAAAAATAGCTTTTTGCTATTTGTTTTTAGCTAGGTGGATAAATCGAAAATTACTGGGCTTAATTACACGGGGGCTAATCCAGAAATGCTAGGTGAATTTGTTACTGGTATAAGTGTGGACAGTTCTGGTATATTTAATGATTAAAACATATATTGCTTCAAAATTTGACAAGGTCATTTGATACATTTAGGAGTAACAATGAATAATTTTATTTCATACATTTATTATGACTGGTTAATGAGCAACTTATGAGTCTTACATACTTTTTTTGTTTGCAAAAAACAAACAAAAAAAACTTATACTCATGGACAGTATATGCTTCCCATTTTTTAAATTTTGGTTATAATCTAATTCATTTATTTTCTGGAATAACAAAAATTGTAATAAAGATAGAATATATATGTGCCACTGAGTACTGTTTATTGTGTTCGTTCCAGTCGGGCATGTTTTGCAAAAAAACTCAATTTATCTTTCCATATTCAGGACATATTAAAAACATTTTGTTGGCAAGTTTCACAGTTTTTTTTTTCCATTTAGTGTTGAGGTGTTTGTTGGTTAAAGTAAAAAGATTTCAATTAATTCTTTTTATCCCTGCACTTTCTGTCGTAATGACTGCACTTTTTGTAGTTAATGAACTTGTAAATTTTAATTGTCCGTTAAGAATGACAGTAAACTAGATTCATTATTCATATCTTGACAAATTTACAAATGAGAGAAAAAATATGTTTGGAGAAGAATTGTAAGACATTAAAAAAAATTCTCCACTTCCTGAAAAATTAGACATAAAATCCTGTGTGTAATATTTCTTCTGCAAAATTAAAATTTTCTGGCTTACATTGCCGTTTTTCATGCATAAATCTTTATAGTGTAGTCATTTATTTTTGTGCAGTTGAAAGGTAATTAGCTAGCATAAAATGGAACCCCCCAGTTTTAAGCTTGACAAAATGTTACAAGGTGAAATAAAAATAAAGAACTTGAGAATTAGAAATAACCCAGTCAAAACTCAGCCTTCAGAGTATTGAGAGACTGACAAGAATTGAAGATCTCCAAATATTAAGGTTCAAAATATCAAAATTTAGACTCAAATTGATAGTAAAGTTGTGCCTGTTGTCAACTAAGCTTCAGAATATCCCAATACCTGTAGTCAACCCTTGAAATAACAAATTTCAGCTATGATTTAGGTGTAATAATATTTTAGAAATGACATTTGATTGAAATGAGTTTTTTTGAAAATTGGTAACAGTCTAGTAATACAGTTGAACTTTGTTATCTTGAACACCAATATATCGAATATCTTTGATCTGCTGAAGTAAATTGGAAGTCCCAACTTCTCTTTTACTATATGTATATTTCAACATCAATGTCTGATGTCCTAGAATGCCTCAATCTTTTTGTCAGCCCCATCTCTTAGATAACAAGTTTCGAGTGATAAAATGGTGTGCAATTCCCTTCCTCATTTGTATTGTCCTGAATGGTTTCAAACCAACAACCAAGTTTCAGATGAAGCACTTGATAGTGTGGCATAAATCCTCTAGTTTAAGCTGAAGTATATTGTCTCATCTATATTTCTCTTTTATAAATACTGGGCTTTTTTTCTTTCAGGACAATGGTCGAGAGTTTGAGAGATCAGCTCATTCTCACAATTCAGAAAACCTTCCAGTATTCACCAGAGCAAGCGGAAAAATTATTTTTGGAACTCATGCTTTGTGTAAAGAAAAGAGAATTGGTAAGTAATACAAGGAAAGGATCATTTCTAACACTATATGCAGAACTGCAGGTCACCAGCTGAGTTTATTGTAAAATTACTTTAAAAATTGTAGCTATCTGGTTGTTTGTTTTTGTTGTCATTTTGAAACATTTTTTTGTACTGATGGATTTGGTTTCCTGAAAGCTTACAATTAAGATGCTGTCTAGTTTGACTGATGCTATTATTATTCACATTTTTGTGTGTCACTCCAGGCATTTTGTTTTGACATAATTTCCTTTGCTTCATACATCTACTGGTCATTTTAGGAAAAGTATGAAAAATGTGATTTTTTAATAAAATGATTTTGAAGAAGGGTTATTATGGTGGCAAGCAATTAAAAAGGAATCAACATTGATATTATGAACCTAACTACGTCACAATATACAGGATGTAAATAAACACTTTATAAATTTCTTGGTTGGTTTGAGGCACTGAGCTGACCTTTGGCTATATTTTATAATGTTGCTTTTAGATGGACTTATTATGGTATATTGTTGTCTGTCTGGGAGTCTGTCTGACTCTATGTGCACAATCCTGGATGTTTTTTTATCCATGACTTTTTAAATTCCTATTTGAAAAAATGAATAACAAATCACTTTTGGGGATTTTTTGGGTCAGGATATGATATTTTGATTTGCTAACAATGTTATTTTGGTTCATAAATTTATCTGACAGAACATGATTGAGTTAACTTTCAGAAATTCTGTCAAGTTTTTTTTTTATTATTATATTAGAGCTTGTTCCTTATATAGACTCACAACAACTATATGAACATTGCAATGGGAGAGAAAAATTATCATAAAAAGAAGTTTGCAAACATATACTAGAAAAATTCAGGTATGGGGGGGGGGGGGGTCTACAGGTTTTATATTTATGAAAAAATGTTAGCCTTAATATTGCTGGTATTTGGATGGAAAGGATGACCTAGAAATTAAAACAAAGAAACATTATTGAATAAAAGCAGAGAAACAATGGTGAATTTCTGTTAATTCAGCAGTTAGTTTTTTGAAGGATTAACTTACAAAGTTATAAACAGTTTTCATATGTGATATACAGTTGAATTTTTGTATCTCTAACATTGCTATCTCAATTAGCATGGCTATCTTAAATCAAAGTCTACCACCAGTCCTGTGATTTTTCTCTATTTCAACTTTGGTATACTTGTATCTTGAATATTTGGGTATCTCACCGTTTTTGTAGTCTCATCAAGTGCAGTATAACAAGGTTTGACTGTATAAGGATATGCATTAATAAATCACTCTTGTGAAGAAAAGATGGGCAAAAAATTACCAAGCATAAAATAGAAACATCCAAATTTAACAAGGTTACTTGTTTGGAAAAAATATAAGGTGGCATTTTACAAACACCTGCAGGATTGTCAGAATGAAAAGTTACATAATGAGCACTTGACAAATGTTTCTTGTTTTTCTTTCCATGTTTTTAATTTCTGGGCTATTTTGAGAATGATTTTACTTATCAACATACAAAGGATATTGATCTAATAATAACCTTCTTTGATGGATTTTTATTTCATATTTTTTAAGATAGAAATTAAGTAGTCTAGTCAAAGATTAATCGTCTTTATAGATTAGGTAAAAAAATATATATGTGTATTTTCTCGGGCCAAAAATTTCAAAATTGAACGTGGCAGACTTTTTTTTATGCCCAAGTGTTCAAAGATTTTGGAGCATGGATTTTGATTCGTCCATCTCTCTGTCAATAGCTGTCTGTTTAACAAACACTAACCTTGCATGGTCATAACTTTTGTGTGGTTGGACAAAATTGATTCTATATTTCAAAAGTTTATTCCTTGTGACACAAACTTTTTCTGTAATTTGTCCTACTTTTGATAGATTTGAAGCAAACTCAAACCTTAACCTTATAATTTTGAATGGTTGGTATTAGGGCTTCTGTATTTCACATATGTATTCCATGTGACAGGTCTTGGGGGGGGGGGAGTGTGTGTGTGTGTGTTGACTTGCTTTTGGAAGAAAAATTAACATTGGCAAAGCTACTTTAGGGATGTGCTCATTCAATAACTATGTCTGATGACCCCCTTTTTTGCTTGCCATGGAATTTTGATAGGATCCTCAAAAAAGAAATTGCTTCCTCTGAGCCTGGTATTACCTGATGTGATGGTGTCTTAGAAACTAAAGATTAGTTTATTTGGCCTTATTTTGTTCAAGTCTAGATTTAAAAGAATAACTAAGTGTATGTCTATATGTGTGTCCATTTGTCCAGCATCTGTCTGTTCACAAAAAAATCCAAGCAAACCCTTTAACAAGCATCCTTGGGGGATTGGAAATCCAGTTGTTTAATAGAGTTTCATCTTTTTTTTCCAAAGAGGGATAATAAAGAGTACAGAAAATAGATAATGTTACTGTAAACCAACTTTTATTTGCATGCGAGAAATTTTCGCTAGGTTTGCGAGAGCTCTGTCATCGCGAATATATTTCTTGCCGCGAACCGTCCTTAAAGTCTTTGTGCGTATTAACAACAGATCCCAAAAAATCTTTGTCGCGAAAATCTATCATCGCGAACTAGTTTATCCCCAGTAAATCGCTAAATAAAGTAGTCGCAAATAAAAGTTGGTTTACAGTAATTGAAAATCATGATTCCCAATAACCAAGGATCAAGGAAAAAACTTAGATATCATGTAGATTCAATTTCATTCAAATCGTAGCCCCCTGGATCTAGGATGGAAACCAAAATAGGGGGGCGAAGTTTAATTGAGAAAATAAAAGGAAATTTTATAAAGATCTCAAAATCTTTTTTTTCAAGACTAACAAGGTCATGTTTGTACTCACAGTATTGATATTCAAGCATCCTTGTGTAGATTGAAGCTTGAAATCAATACATGTACTGCCTAGACTAAGATTAAGTTACAAACGGGAAGGATTGTTTTACAAGGAATCATAGACATTCACAAAAACGGGAGGGTGTCATTTGTCAAGCTTACATTAAGCCTTAATAAACTTTTAAAAAATTGTGGTAACCTTGATTGGTAACCACAGTTTCATTTATATCTACATGTAAAAGACATATTCCATTTATGATACAGCACTCATTAGAATTTTTCAAAATGTCAGTCTGTGGTTCTCATTTGCATTGCTTGAAATACAATATCAACATTTAAAAAAAATGCTAAAATTAAAATTATAAACCGCTATAATTATCTAAAGATCAAGTCGCTAATATCACCATTTTTGGTGGATTGTTTTATGGAATATATGACATTAGAAATTCAAAGTATCACTATTTCTAACACTTCCCATTGATTACTTAAAGCTATATATGACATGTATGAGCTAAAAAAAAAAAAATGAGATTATGTGTAGATTTGCATGAAATTTGCTATTTATGTTCAAATTAAATTTTTCGATGATTTTGAACTTAAATATCTTCACGTTTCTTTAGTTAAAGTTACTTTAAACTGTGTCCGAAATGCCACGTCCGAAATAAATCTGTTTTTGTTTTAAATCTCTGCAGATATCTAAGAAACGAGATTGATTTAAATTGTGTAATTTACAAGAAAGTCCTATCTTTATGTAAATTAAGTAACAATTAAAACAAATAGAAAGATCTTTCTTATTTTAGTTAGTCTGAAATTATCAAAACTTTCAAATTAGCCTACTATTACTAACTATAAAAAGTATATGCATATATATAGATTTACAATGATATTTTAGTTTGCCTAATTTACTTTAAATTTTTGAATTTATATATACACAAAAATATTTGACATTTGCAAATGAAAAGCCATAAAAAAAACTGACATTTTAAGCACAAAAACATACGTACAGTCATCTTTCTATCTTCTATTTATTGAAGTAAATAGTGCTGATTGTTTTATTCAGCAGATCTTAAGTCTCTTTGTTTTGCTATAATACATTAGCTTGTTTTAGTTACTGTATATATGTATATTTAACTACAAAACTTTGATTTAATATCAAAATAACTAGCTTTAGCTATTTTATCGTACTATGAGAAATTCATTCATTTGATTCTTTCTCATGGGAGTCTTTACACTCAATATCCCAAAGTTTTGAGGCTGATTTGTGACCACACAGTTCATTCTTGAATGAAATTATAGAGGATGTCAGTCTTGGTCGAAATATAATTTATTAGTACATGTATTAATTCAGCACAATGAATTTCTCATACTAAGCCTAGCCTTTAACTGCACACAAGTAAGTGTACAGTTACCAGAACAGTGAATACTGTAGACTGGCAAATATTCACGATTGTTTTAATTTCGCTATGTTCACGAAATTAAACCCATTGTGAATGTTATTATTAGTTTTAATAATGTTAAATTGCTTATAGGAAATTTTGAATTAATTTCTTGCAGCGTGAAATTAAAACCATTGCAAATGGTACTTTTTGAGATATCGTGAAATTTTAACACTGTGGAATTAAAACAGTTTACAGTAAACATCTGTTAGCTTTATAAAAGTGTTCAAAAGCTACTTTTTGTTTTATAGTATATAGTGCATACTGCTAAGAATAGTCAAATACCTGTGACTTTCCAAAAAAAGTGGAAAACTGCATTGAAATAACTTTAGGGAGGTATTTTGTATTGCTTATTATAATTAATAAAGACAATACAAAGTCAACACATAGGACTTAATTAAGAGTGTTGGAAGTGTCATTAAAATTAAATCAAGAGTTATTTATTTGGGAAACAAACTGAAAAAAAGAAAGAGAAAATACCCAAAGAGCTTCAACTCGTACACTTGAATATTAAGAACATTCAAGAACTTTCATCCTAATGTCACAATGCAGCCAACAAGAGTTGGACAGCCTTACTTGAGCATTTACATTACCATGATATTATTGTAAGTGAAATAATTCTCATTGAATTCTATTACTTAAAAAACATATTGGAAACTAGTTCATTCTAAAAATTTCAATCATTTTTAAAAAAGTTTTTGAGAGTCAAATTCAGGCTAAAATTTTTCTTCTTTTTTTTTCTTTTGAAGTTTTCAGTTTTATACTTAAATCTAGGCAGTTTAAGTGCCATTAGACAAACCAAAAATGGTCTTCAAATATTTTTGTTGTAAAAAATACTTGTCAAAAAATTGTCAGATGGTTTTAATTTAATAGTGCTTGTCATATGTTTGTTAGGGAGGAAAGACAACTGTGTGGGCATCATGTCCATGAACCTCTTGTTCTAATTCTTTGTTTTATAAGGTGCTCTGCCTCAAGCTCTTTCATTGGCCAAATTTTTTAATTTTAACATGCAAAGAAAGAACAGGAACCTGCTTGTAGAGGCATGATCTTACAAGGTCAAGGTCAGATCATTAGTGTCACTTTGAAGACGTTCAAATAATTTATACAAGACATGGAAGGGACATGGTACCAAGCGAAATAAAAACTCGTCAACTATTTTAGGAATAAAGGCTAAATATTCATGTAAAAAATGAAATTATGAATTTTCATCTTAAAGAAACTTAATTTCTCTTTTTTAATACTTCAAATTGTTGAAGTCTTGTTCCAAGGATTATCTTATATGTAGTCACGAATATCTTTGGTGTATTATTGTTTATTATGACATTTTTATGCAAAAGAAATAAATTCGGACATCTAGTTCCAAAATCTGCATGTAAAATTGTCATTTTAGCACATAGTTAGAAAAGAGCTTTTTTAATGACTAAAATGTCTGTTTTATTTATTCTATAGTTTCTGCTCTATCCCATTAGAACTGTAACATAAACCACATACCCTCATTTAATGCTGTCAGCCAAATGGTTTAAAAATAGCCATTAAAAGTACTGTCATCTGACCAATCTTTGGTTGTCCCTGAAAAGCAGATGATGTTATTGATTTCTAGGTCAAGGCCAAATAAGGTCTACTACAACATCAAATGCTGTCCATTCAGTGCTTTAAAAACACTATTTTTGTAGAGTTTTATACATTGGCTATGACTAGTAGTTTATTTTCATTTTAAAAAATAGTTAAAGAAGATGACACACATAATATTTCTTGTTTTTGTTGTTACAGATCACAGTATTCCGGATGGGGGAGGGAGCTCAAGATATAGACCTGGCCATATTAACAGCTCTCCTTAAAGGTCAGCTCATCTTAACCAACTTTTAAATTAAGATATTGGAACTTTTTTTAACCTTTTGAATATGTTTTTTGATAAATGTATATGCACAGATGAAACCCCACGTAAAACAGCCTACAATTCAGCATAAGAATTATCTCAATATGAGATTCAATACTAATTACTGAGTATGCTTTTTAATTTTATGTGGTAGTGAATTGTTAATTGTGTTTTAGGAACCAATGCCAGTGCCCCTGATCAGCTAAGTTTGGCCTTGACCTGGGACAGAGTTGACATTGCCCGCAGTCACATTTTCACCTACGGACAGGAATGGCCGGTAAGTTACTTATTAGCATCGTGATGTCAACAATAAAATTAACAATCTTCAAAGTTTTAAGGTTTATCTTTTAAAAAGATGGCAGGTTTTGATACCACAAATTTTGCAACTAAATTTGAATACATCAATGAATAAACAAATAAAATAACTAAAACAGATATGTAGAGTTCAGTTTGAGTGGATTTCATAGGTAGCCCATTTGATTAAAATTAATGGATAAATCCTTTTTTTTTCATGATGAGACTTTCATCAAAGTAGTCCCGATTTAACAATCCATGGAATTTCTCATGCATGAATTAAAGTTGTTATTCTATAGTTAAAAACAGATAGAAGTTAAGACTTTTGGTCCATGTGTTGTAGGAGGGATCTCTGGAACAAGCCATGATGGATGCTCTCATTAATGACAGGGTAGACTTTGTCAAGTTGTTGTTGGAGAATGGAGTCAGTATGCACACATTCCTCACCATACCTAGACTGGAGGAGCTCTATAACACAGTAAGTACTCACATACCAAAATAACACAGTAAGTACTCACATACCACAATAACACAGTACTTGCATACCATCATACACAGCAGGTACCCACATACCACAATAACACAGTTAAGTACTCACATAACACAATAACACAGTAAGTACCCACATAACACAATAACACAGTAAGTACCCACATACCACAATAACAAAGTAAGTAGGGCAAACTGACCATGGTTCGGACATACAGAAAAATTGACCTAAGTTCGGACAACTTTACCGTTATTTTTTTCAGTTAAATAAATTGGTTATCAGCATAATACGGAAATATATCAATAAATCGGATTTTTTATTTAGTCAATCTGGTGGCGCTACGATTTAGGGCATGTGTAGTTTGTTTTACGTCAGCAGTTTAAGGGAAAAGTAAACAAACACTTGCAAGTAAAATCAAATGAATGAGACCTTTATTAAACCATTGATTGATTTCTTTTGCGTTTCTAATTAATCATTTATTAATAAAAAATTGTATAAGCTATTTTCTATATTTTGTTGTGAAATCTTCCTCGAATGAAAATTAAATGTACCTAAATAAAATTCGTACATTGCGCAAAAAAGTTAAAGCTACTTAAATCGCCTTTAATTAAAAATATCAGAGAGTGAATAAATTACGTGATTGATATTCAAAGCATATAGATAATAATATTGTTTTTAAAAAATCATACTATGATACTTCATGTAACTATATATAAAAGATGTGTATCTTTTTAAATGTACATACGTGTACTACAGTATAGTATTTTCAAAATTGACATATATGATATTATTATATGCACTTTTCAATTTATTGATATAATAAAATTAATTAATTCAATTGATTAAGTAAATGGTGTTCAATAAATTGAAATTTAAACCAATTCATTAATCATAATACTATTATTTCTAGCATTTAAAACAAATCCCTATATAGCACAAAGAACTTTTGATTGGTTTAGAAATGAACAAGTGCCGGCTACATCTTTAATTAATACATGTAGACTTCGAATTGTAGATATACAATGAAATTATAAACCCTATTGAGAAATGGAAAACGTCATAATGAAGGGTGTGTATGGTCTCGGTATGTGTTGTATTTTGGTGCTAGATAACTAGTGTATTATTTGTTCAAATCATGCGCAATAATCAGAAAGACATGCATTGATGCTACTGCAGTTTATGAAAATCGTGCACTGACATGCAGACTTTGCCGTGTGCATTGGTCATTTCTTTATTTAGAACGAAAATTAACTGAGGGCCAACCTGCAAAAGGCGGAAGAAAGTTGAAGAAAACACCCCTAGCAAAAATAAATTGCATTTCAATTCGAACAACTTGTCGACAGCCCAGAAGTATAATAATTTAAAACTCATTGCTTGTAATTAAAAAAAACAGAAAAAAGATACTTTTTTATTTATTTTATTATGGAACCAAAAAACAAAATGGATAAAGGTTATCCTGACAATGATCGGCTCTTAAGCATAGGCCTACAAATATATACTTAGTATAGACATTGAACATATCTTCGGAGGTTTAGCCTCCCCACTTTCCACAGATATGTCTTAGTATTGGGTAAAAATGGGGAACACAGTGTTTGGAAAAAAAATTTTGTACTCCCCTGTGTTTTTTTTTTACACATAGCCCCCCCTTTCAATTTGCTTCATGCCAATGTTATGTGTTAAACAAAATCACAGTCACACGTACCTTGTTATGGGACATGCATACCATAATAACATTTTCAAAAAAAAAAAAAAAGAAAAGGTAAGTACTCACATATTTTTGCAAAATCTTAAAAAATAAAAAAAAATACAGAAACAATTTAGAATTAACAATAAAAAATAAATGAAAATCAACAGAATACACGATATTATAACCTCACTGAAATCGAAAGATTTTCACGGATTTTGGTTTACTATCGAATATTGCCCCCCACATTCTTATTTTTCTGTTGTAATTGCACAGAATTAAACCACAGTACCCTTAAAACAAATGATAGTTTTATTTCATAAAAAATTTCACTATTAAGAAATAAACTTCACATACCACTAAAATTTTAAGCTACAGATTCATGCGAGACTTCAAAAATCATAATTCAGCTTTATATGAACACAAAAAATGAAAAATTGGTAAAGTTCACTTTATTAAAAGTTATTTTCAATCTTTATAATTTTTAACACAGTCAGTACGTGGTCACATCACCATATCAACATAACACAGTCAAGTACTTTTGGACATATACTTTCTCAATTTTTTACATTTTGTACAAGGAAAGAACATACCTCAAATGTGGCTGTCTAACAAACTGAAAAAGTGTACTATCAGAAGGGTCAAATATGCACATTGAAATCTTCAAACTCCCCCCCCCCCCCCCCCCCCCCGCCTAACGTCCACATGTACCCTGGCTACGCCCCTGACATGGTATAGACATAAACCTATATGAATCCCTCTCTAGTACAATTAGCAAGAGACGATGCCAAGCCCAAGCTTTCCACTGAAGACGAAAAGATTGAAGCTTACACGAACTTGCAAACAAAGGAATCAGATCTTCTAAAGCAAAACTATATTTGCTTTGCTGGAATATGCGGTGGTATAGAAACAAATGATGATTTCGAGTGAAACATGGCCTTACAAATATGCATCGAGAGAGCAAGAACTAGCAAAATCAATAACATTTTACAATTAATTTTTTTTATTTTTCAGTCTCGTTTTTTTAGGAAACCTTCGACATATTTGAGGTTACAGTCAAAAACACTGGGTACTCAATCAATAGAAATGGATTTTTTTAATATATTTTTTCAGTGTGTTATATCATTGCAAATTTAAAACTAAATGATTTGAATATCAAGGCATATGAATTGTTTTTTAAAATGTGTTTATTATGTAGAATACAAAAAAGAGGAAAGAGAGATTAAGGGAAAAATAAAAAAAACAACAGATTTTTATGAAGAATAAAGATATGATTAAAATTTATTGAACTTGCATATATTTTATTTGAATAGAAATGGCAATTTTGAAGGGTTTGGGAGGGAAATCAGAAGAAATAAATTAACAACTTATCTGATAAAACTTTGACACGAAAATAAAATTTAAAAAAAATGAAGCAAACGAACGACCCCAAGGAAAATGGTCCGAACTCGAAAGGGGGTCACACTTTCTTTCACTTTTAAATTTTATCAAATTAAATGTATATAATTAACCAAAACACTACGATGTAACACTACAACAAAAGAAGAATTAATGTATTTTTCCACAGCATTGCTATTACGAGCCTGTAACTACACACTGATAGATATAGGGATGGTAATGGAACATTTAATGTTTTGGTGATATATTGAGCCTTTTCCAGTTGATCAACCTACCACTGTCACTCGGAACAACAGCTTATTGCTTGTAAGCAAAACAAGATTCCGAACAAAAATACAACGCTATTTAGTGATTGTTACAAGAGAAATTTTTTCGTAGAGGCAGGGTCCAGCAAACACACTGAAGGATGTACACCTTTAAAACGTAATTTGAAGATCAAGGCATGTATTGTTTTTAAAATGTGTTTATATTTATTATTTGAAGGGAATTCTCTCCATATATTATTAATAAATGAGTAAATTGTTTAATGAAAACCTAGTAGAAAAGTTGTGCAATTTTACTTTTAAAGATCTTGCAAGCAGTGTTTTCCATAAAGGAAGGAACTATAAAGCAAAATCTTATGTATTGCTCCACTTTTAAAAAAACAAAAGCAAAGTTTATGAATAGTTACATTGAAAATACAACCAGTGTATTCGGCTTTACTTGATATATGAACTATTAGTTTTCTTGGTTGTAATTCCAGAATACTGCAGGCAATCTTCACAGTATTGTGACTGAACTACCTCTGATACTCGACACAAAGGAAGCTCAGGAGCTTTTCCCTTACCCCTTCCATGATCTCATGATTTGGGCAGTACTTATGAAGCGCCAGAAGATGGCGCTGTTTATGTGGCAGCATGGAGAGGAGGCCATGGCTAAGGTAAACATCATATTACGTTTATCTTTTTTGGAGATTTACTAAAATCACATACATTTTGTTTTATTTTAGTTTTTACAAATATTTTATGGCTTTCAAAGGATAACGCTTATGGAAATTATATTGATGCCCTCTTCTATAACAGGCTTTGGTCGCATGTAAGCTGTACAAGGCCATGGCTCATGAAGCAGATGAAGATAACCTAGAAGTGGACATTTCTGAGCAGTTCTTAAACGATGGAAAGTAAGTCAGAAAAAAAAAGAGATCATTACACAATAGCCAGAGTTCTCTCTCTTGAAAATATTTGTAATAAATATCATGGCCTTCGGTAAAAAACATTAACAGTTTGTGCACTGACATGACAATGCTATATTTTAAAAATAGTATATCATTTGTTACTGTGACAGATAAAATGTCATTAAATTCTAACTCAAAGTGACACCTATATTATAAATAGGGAGTTTGAGAAATTGGCCTTGGAGATGTTGGAACATTGCTATAAGATAGATGACGACTACACACAGCAGTTGTTGACCTACGAATTAAAGAACTTCTCGGACCAGACCTGCCTCAGTCTAGCTGTGGATGCCATGCATCAGGATTTCGTGGCTCACACCTGCTGTCAGACCCTGATTAACGACCTGTGGATGGGGGGTCTTAGAATGAGAAAGAACAGCAGTCTGAAGGTAAGGACAATTAATTAAGATGTAACTGCATTTTCAAGCAAAGTATTTTTCATTAAAAAGACCAATCTTCAACAAATTGGGTTTTACCCCCCAAATCATTGCCTTGGTCAGATTTGATAAATAAATACAGTCAAATCTTGTTATCCTGAACTTGATGGGACTGATATTTTTTTTGGATTGAGAAGATATCTAAGTATCAAAGAATAAGTAGTTTGGATTTCCAAAGCCCTCTGAAATATTAATGATATTCAAGATATCAGCGTTCGAGATATTGGAAGTTTAACTGTATGATTGAAATGTTGAAACATGTTGCAGGTGGTTCTTGGGATCCTGATCCCTCCTTATGCGATGGCCCTGGAATTTAAGACTAAGGAGGAGCTACAGCTGATGCCTCAGACGATGGAGGAGCACTTAGAGGAGCTGGAGGACGACGACAGTGATACAGAGGACCTGTCCTTCAGCTCCCTGGACGACGACAACGTCAACGAGGTACACCACAGGGACAACTCTTATACACAATACATCTCATATTTCTCACTGTATTTTTCTTCATAAACTTGCATTTGTTTTTCTTTTCATTTAATTCCTAATGTACTGACTTTATTAAATTTTTTTGGCTGAATTTTATTTTATGCATTTTATTTCAGTATAAAACTTTCCTTTTTTGTTGCATGGAGTTTTATTTCAGTTCATTTGATCTCCTATTTTCTTAGTATTCTGGTGTATACACCCTTCCTACGTCCCACTCTGTGCCCCGCCTTAGTGTAAACGGACAGCCTAATGGCCAACTCAAACAGTCCTTAAACAAATCAAAGGTGCCAAACATGATATACAGAATTTATATACGGCTTGGCCAAAGGGCCAGGGAATTGTACAATTGTTTATAATGAAATTGGTTATGGTTGAATGTATTGTAACAAAATTATGTATTCAGTAACTGCATGAGAATGAATTGATAGGAAAATGTCAATGTAAATAAAGGGAGCTAACTGCAAAGATTTTAAGTTAAATGCATGTTGACAAAACATTATCATGAAAGAGCTTTTAATGTACAACTTGTGATTTATATACTCCTTAATGTCCCAGGTAGTGGTACAATGTATATTAAAATTGGTAAATTCTTTATTTATCATTTAATTCACTAGTACTGACTTAGTATATACAAATTTTAAAATTAACAAATTGGTCAGATTAATGCATCTTAAACTATACAAACAAGTTGAAATTATTTTTTTAATAATAATAAAATCAATTCAGAATTTAAATTAAATGTTAAAACAGTGCTTTAAGTAATGAAGTTACATACCAGTATTATGTGGGATATGACAAAAGTTTCCATCCTGATGGTTTAACCAGCTGTTTTCATTATTTGACAGAGTATGTTTTGTGATGATATGACGATGGAAACAGCTCAAATAAATAAGGTTCAGGAGAACGGTAGCTGTCCGGCTGACAACAACAGCGCATTGGAGTACTCTCATTTACAGAGCAAGAAAAAAAAGAGCCCACTCAGGCTTGGCAAAAAAATCTACGAATTCTACAACTCACCTATCACCAAGTTCTGGTTCTACACAGTGAGTATAGATCTTACTTTGATATAGGCCTATAGTTGCCATAAAATTGACAATTCTTGTTTAAAGTTCTGAAATGTTTTGATTACAATTCAATTTTTTTTTCCCAAAAATATAAATTTTTTAACTTAACATTAAAGATGTTTCAAATATAAAAATTAATAACTTTGTATCTTTTTAAAACAATGATGTTTAGGTAAATCTGATTTGTTGTAGATGACCTACTTTGCATTCCTGGCGGCCTACACGTATGTGGTGCTAGTGAAGACCTACCCCGAGCCCCATTGGCCCGAGATCTTCTTAATGACCTATGTGTTCTCCTTGGCTACTGAAAAGTTTAGACAAGTAAGCACTTTTTCTCTGCATGCATGGCCATAATATGCACACATATGTGAATGTTTAAGAATCTTAATAAAACCACATGCAATCTCTGTTGGGTATATGATGTATAAGAAATGATGTCTTCCTTCAAAAACATACAATTAACAGTTAGATTTTTAGCATGGTGTCTTTGAAGTAACATTGTTGGATAACAATAAATGAATTTGCTTTTCAAACTTGCCTTGAAACATTTTTGAACTATGTGAATTTTATATGAAAGAGAAAGGTAGCTCCTTTTCTAGGAGAGATAATTAAGAAATAAAGATAGGGTGAGTTAATTTTAACACCTGGATCAGAAGAGATCAAAAGTTCTGTGTAATTTTTGAAGTGCAGCTTGAGTAAAGCTCATGGTGTAGTGGTTGTAGAACTTTGGCTAGTAACTGAGAGATCAATATGTATAGTTGGAATACCACAGTGAGTATCATGTGTATGCTGTGGCATTAAAAAGGGCAATCTGCATTGTCTCAGTCCCCCGTTGAAATGGTTACGGCTGATGTTTGAAATAAACCTGGGGGTCATTCAGGGGGAATCAAAGACATTTATCTGCTTAGCAAACTGAAACCTAGCTGGGATTATGAGCAAGCAGCCCTGAGATCCTCATGGCTTGAACAATGTCTAGTCTAGAGTGGTTTCAAAGCTTGTCAAGTCAGGTCCTATAGAAAAAAAATCTACCGGTAAATACATATAGCAGTGCTGAGATGACTTGGGTGAATTTTGACTTTATGAGTTTTTTAGGAAATTGTAGTACATCTTTCTAATAAAAACATGAATATCTGCAACAAGGTTGCTTACTTTTATAAAATAGGAGAGGACATTAAGACAAGTACGGGTACAAAACACTCAGGAATTAGACAGCTTGTGGTTCTTGTGGACTGACCATGCAGTTTGGAGGGTTAAGATTTCTGGCTTCTATAACTGACCAGAGCAACTCTTGTCACAATGTTTAAAGGTCTGGAAATCAATAATGGTATTTTAGAAGTATTAGGGATGCCATTTGTGGATAATAAAACAGTGTTCCTTCCTGTTAACTATCTATATTATAATACACAAGGGAAAGAAAAGAGCAGGGCAAATGCATTAAATCAACCGTCCAAATCTGTTTCTTGTTCAATAAAATCTAGTTGGAATTAATATAAATTGATTTTAATATTGAGTGTTGTTGGGTTTTTGTTTTTTTTTACCAAGAATCGTTGTAATGAAAGTTAATATTGATATTTTTTTTCACAAATTTTAACATGTCATTTTATTAAGTAATGAAATCAAATAGGTCAAGTTTGGCATATCTTTATACCAACTAACATCTTTCAGTGAAATCATTACTGTGCAGATGTCTTTAATGGAACCCTTTTTGTCATTTGATAATAAAATATTGTTTTGTTAAGCAACACTGGTCAAGAGTTAAGTCAAATATTAGTTTTGGAATTGAACAAGTATTTAATAAAACATTATGAAAGCATGTTTTTTGCAAAATATTGATATGTTGATGGGGTCGTTTGGTGGAGAGTATCTTAAATATTATAAAACCTCGGATGTCATCATTGAAGTAGCCAGGTTTGTGCTAACGTCATCCCTATTTTCTGTATAAAGGATTGTTGTACTTTAGATACAAGGCATCATGTGTATTGATCCCTAGCTACACTCCTCTCAGATTGAAGAGCCTAACAGGGAAGAGTTATTGTATCATTGAATTAAGTTTTTTTTTTTCAATCATAAGAAATTTTAGATTAAACTTAGATCAATATCATGTGAAATATTATGAACAATTTAGATGTTACAGCCTAAGATTTTAATGTTTTTGTATTGCATAAAAAGCATCTGTAGAAATTTCTTTTAAGTTCAAGATATCAAAAAAAAAAAAAAAATAATAATAAAGAATATAAGAAATAATAAATTAAAAAATATATAAAATAAATAATAAATAATAAAAAAAAAATAACAAAGTGTTATGTATAATATTTAAATCTTCTTGTTGTTTCATTTGCACCACTATTACTAAACAAAATCCATAATTCTAAGCTGGAAGGATCAAATATAATGCTAGACAAGTTGACAAGAAGGCTATTTATGTATTATGGTCATTCTATGAATATTCATTTTAATTACCTGTTACATAACCTTTCATTCATAACCAAAGCATGTCCTCTTGCTTTTGAGAGAGAACATACTGTATAAAAATCTCACTTGTCCTAGGAACAGAAGCATTTTAATGAGCATCAGTAGAATAAAAAATTATAGATGAACCATACTTAACTTTCAAAACAGGGAATGGCACAAGTTTTTTTTAAGAATTTCCTGTCATTCATAAAGATCAAAGGATATATACAGTAGAAACTGGTTTCCAGATCATATCTGAGTAATAGAGAAATTCAGGTGTCTTTTTGCTATTTGTCATGGTAGACAAGTTCTTATCAAATATTTTGTTGAATGATCAGTATGCTTTGTTCAATATTTTTACAAAAAAATGCACCCTATTATAACATTTTTTAAGCATTATAAAGTATCGGTAAAGTCAAAAACTTCTTATTAGAGGTAGCAGAACCTGTGATGTTGGCCTGTAGGCTCTAGCTTTAACATGCTATACAAGTACATTGCACTCTTGAAAAAATTCATTTGCATCATGGGATTATATATGATGATAATGATATTTCATCAGTAATAATTTTTCACAAACAAATAAATAGCTTGGAATTTAGATCTTCAATAATGCTTAAACAAATAATGTACAAAGAAAAAATACTTACAGCTTTATTGATAATCATACAACAAATGATTGAAAAAAAAATGATAAAATTGCATCCTAACACATACAGTAAAAACACATTGTACCTTTAAATATGAAAATACTAAAAATGTATTTCATGCAAAGGTGGCCATCTCAGTTTGAGGTGTGCTGACCAGAGGAAAAGAGCTTTCCTGGCCCGAACCACTCCCACTGGACTTAAAGGTCAGTCTGGGTTTGGGCTGTTGTTTTCTGAGGTGAACACGGCACAGAAAACGCTTCAGCTCCATCCTAAATCTCTGCCCTGTAAGTCCATAGATGAAGAAATTCACAGCATGGTTAATGTACATCAGTATAAAGCACAGGGTTCGGACAAAGACTGCCTCTGCTTGTTCTTCAATAGTTGTTGGTTTCTCCATAAAGAATCGGTAAAGTGGTCTCGGCATGGTTGTGACAATCCAAGTGAATGAAATGATAAGTAAACAGATTGCCAGTTTTTGGTGATCATAACGCATCTGTTGGTCAGTTTTGGTCATGGCTTGAAACAAGGGTTTGTTCTTGACAAGGCTTACAATAATCAAAGTGTTGAATAAAAACAGAACTAACACAGGGAGGAAGGAGTACAAAACGAGATATATCCAGGGAAAAACTTTACAGACAAGGTTCTGATAGGCATAGGACACACATCTAACCTGGCCACTGGATAATGAGTACAGTTCAGCTGTCCAGAATATGTGACTGTTGATTAAGATGAAGATCATTGCAATCATCACTGTCACAAATTTGGCCCTCGCCAAACTGCACATTGTTGTGGCTCGGAGTGGAAACCAAACAGCCAAAAAGCGCTCTACTGTAACAGCCACAATCAACCAGGCAGAAAAATGGACAAAGAAATGGGTCAGAAATATCAAGATCTTGCAGGCAGCATCACTCTGGTGTAGAAGTTCATATCCGGTAAGCACAGTAATCCAGGTTTTGAATGCGCTGATGTATAGAACTCCTGTGTCAGCCACTGCCAGAGTGGCCAAATAGAAAAACGTAGAGGTTTGTCTCATTTCTCTCTGTACCATGATCAAAAAACTCATTACATTTCCAAATGTTCCAACAAATATGATGATGGGGAGCACATACCTTATCAAGTCTATGGCCAGAGCATAGAAAGGCTCTGATTTCAAGTCTCCTGAAAAGTAAGGTTTGCTTCCATTTAATTTCCCTGTAAGGTTTGCTGTGAAGGATACTGTGTCATTTAAAATTGTCTCCATATTTGCAGATTTGTCTTGTAGCAATGTATTTGTTGATGCTGCATTAAGTCTTTGAAATAATTTGTGTAAAAATCATTCCCCTTTAAGTACTGAAGTCCTTATATTTTTTTCAATCTTTATAATCCGTATTTTTATATAAGGTAGACGCATTTCTTCCAGATCAACAGATTTCAGATACTTCAAATGAATTCATTTTTAAAAAACAATACTCCAAACACTTAAAAAATTTTCGAAAGTGAGAATTTTACTAACAATTCTTGTTAACTCCTACGACCATGCTAAATGCACTGGTGGTCTTAGAATATTGGTAGAGATTAGCTTTCCAAGTCCACTGCAAATACAGCGGATAGTTGATGATTTGTCTCTGTTTATCTTCAATATCCAGGCTTTTAAGTCATTTTCAGTTTCCAATAGCAGTTGGCAGCAACAGCATAGTAGAAATCTCTCAAACAAATTTTAATTTCAATGCTGATCATTAAATTGATAAAATTACAGAAAAACTTACTATTATCCTGTAATATCTATTTATAACTTTCACTATAAATTTGTTTTCAACAAAAGTGATTTTAATGTAGAAATGGAAGTTATTGATTCGAAATTGTTCTATATCATATGAAATTTTTAGTGGAATATTTGACCCATGTTAATGTGTTAATAATTATAGATATTTATTATTTTTGGTTAGGATGATAGCTAGGTTTTATTGAAGAGTCAGTTTGAAAACTTATCCACAGAAATTTGCAATTTCACTAGTAGTGACTTTCCCATTCAAATTTTGTTTAACTGTGTGCATTTCTATTGAAGACATATCAGGATTTTAATAAAATTGAAAGATTTAGGAAAAGTGTACATTCACAGAATTCAACTTTGACCTATTAATAAGTGTTATATTGAGTAGACAGCTTTGTATATTTTTTCCCAAGTATTAAAAAAGACTACCTTCATTGCAACAAACTTTTAGAGTTACCGGTAATCAATTATGATCGTTGAGTAAACCATTTTCACATACAAAAAATTTAATTCATATCAAAACAATGAATTATTGACTATTACTGAGCAAATGTCTAGTTGAAGTGCTATAAATCACATTAATTTCAATAGTTTTAAATGGAGTTCCTTCCATTATGGGCTTTTTAATGCCTCCATCAGAAATGTAGGAGAAATGTATGAGAAGTGGAGGTTTGTCCATCTGTGCATGTGTCAAAATTTTTTACAAGTTATAACATAACCATGGAGATGGAATGAAATCCTTCAGGAAGTGCAGATTCACTGTTCAAATCACAGCTGTGGAGATCGATGGGGCCAATTAAATCAGAAAATAAAATTTTACATGAGAAGATATAGAAAATGTAACTTGACAATTGAATTCAAAGGGGTCTTCCAGTGTCTTATTGGTCATTGTAAATGATATATTGTACCTGACTATCTGTCTTGTTTAGTCTTTTTGTCTTGTCTTGTCTGTCCATCATATAAAACTCTATAAAACTTTTACGTAAAGGTTATGATGTCAAGGATTATAATTCTCTCTGAAAGATGCTACATGTAACTTATAAAATATGAAATTCCTGTCTTTTCAAAATACCAATATTAAAGTTTTGGAAAGTACTACAAGTTAGAGTCACGGGGTCAAAAATCATTTATTCTAAATGTCTTGAAACAGGTTAGTTGCATGTCAAATATGAAAGTCACAACTTTTCTCATTCAAATCTTAAAATTTTGAGATCTTTTAATATAGATACTGTTATGTATATGTTATGAACACTGAGGTCACTAAACCTAGAAAGTTGATGCACCTTGGGGCACAGGAATGACAATGTTTCCCTAAAAGTAGGTCACAGAGACCTACATTCTAATTTGTTTTGATTGTCATAGAATCTCTTAGCTTGGAACTTAAGCTCAGGATGGTCAAATCTTATAAGTTCATATATCTTTGGGTCTTAATTTGGAATATGTATAGATTTAAAACAGCAATGGATGGCGTGGGATATGATCTGATGATCATATCTTTGGCCATATTTGTTGCCATCTTTTGCTTTTTGTAAGCTGTATATTATTTTTTATAAAGTTTATGTTGTATCTAGTCAGACCTAAAATTTTCTTTGTGACATATTTTCTATCATAATGTGGAAATCAGTATGTTGTAAAATTTGGTAGGAGATCATTTTTAGGCCCTTGTGAATTTAACAAGTCATATGAACCATTTGATTTTGTTCATGAGATGCTCTCTTTATGTCAGACAATGGGATATTGAGGTTGATGTATGAACCCCGTGACTATTGCTTTCCTTGTGTATCAAATAACATCATCAAATTGATTGTTACTTCCATTACAATTTCATATATTAGTATTTGTATATAAAACATTCAAAAAGTGTCAAATAAACTTAGGTAATAAATTTTTTGAATATTGAAAAAGGGCTACTTTGTCTAATATTCTCTGTTTACAGAGCTACTTTTATTATGAAATGTTACAAGTATCTCGTGTTATGTGAGAGGGTATGATGTCAGAGTAAAGGGGAGTAGGTGTAGAGAATTCGATTCTCTGATGGACCCTAAAAGCTTACTGTTTGTATAAGAAGTTAGCCTGTGTATTTTATCTGATGTACCATTGTCCAGATGTTTTAGAACATTCCCATATAAAAGGTTTTCAGACAAGTAATCCATACTTGACCAATATCTTATTAGTGAGAGGTTGTTTTTCCCTGTGAAGATGCCTATGATGTCACCAAACTTTTCCATGATGAATCTTGAGTCATAATAAGTTGTTTTTGTAAGTTTGTAAAACTCACTCAATGTTCTCCATGTAAAAATAAGAAAAGTGTATTAAGTAATGAATATAGATTAGTAAAGTTGTTAGATTAGTGTTGCTTAAGGAAAAAAAAAAGATTTCAATTGCATAAAAGACTTGACCTTCTGACTATTTCTTGTATGACATGTGTAATTAACTTCTTTAAAATAATTCCTTCCTTCTGTCTAATGAAAGAAAGTATTGATCAAGTTATTATAAATTCACCTTTCATAAGAAATAATTTTTGTTGAAAAATTACCTATTGTGTTTACCTAAAATAGCTTAATGATATTAAATTTTCAAAGATTGTGTGATAAGAAGAAAAATGTCAGACACAATTTTTATATCCTTTCAATTTACAGCTGCATGAACTTCTCTGTATCTCTGTATCTATGTGACTGCTAAAGTCAAAGTATTTGTAAGAGCTAGCTTTCCTCATTTCTAGTCAAATTTTGTTTTGTAGAGAAGTGTGTTATAAATGATTAAATGACTGTCAGCCATGAATGTGAAGATGCATCATATATCTGACTAAACAGTGTATTAGGTTTTATCAAAATCTTTCCAGTCATGAAAACAAACAATTTGGTCTGTTATTGAGAACATTCTGACAGTGTTGAATATGATACATGTACTTAAGTATTGATTTGTTAGCGTTTCTCAGCCTGTTTTTACTGGTACCTGAATTTAATGAAGGAAAAGAAAGTGATTAAACATTCTCCAGAAAGCTGGGTCTGCATGCATTATGATTTTTATTAAATTGAGAAAAAATCCTATTAGAATTCTCTAGATGGTTTGATAAATATGATTTTAATTATGGTGGTAACTATGATGTTTTTTTAGATTGTGGCGTCAGAACCTGTGAAGTGCAGTCTGAAGTTACGTGTGTTCTTCAGTCAGTACTGGAACATCTGGGACATGGTAGCCATTTTGATGTTTTCTACAGCAGTTGGACTTCGAATGTTTGATGAAACACGGAAAGCAGCTCGTATTATCTACACATTAAACATAGTGTTCTTCTACATACGAATCCTAGAAATTCTGTCCGTCAACCAGTATCTGGGGCCATATGTTAAAATCATTGGCAAACTGGTGAGCACTCACTAAAACAAATTGAAGATCAGATAGTCAAATCTGTTATACCAGTAGTTTTTAATGCAGTTTGATACATTTTGCAGAGAAAAGCTAGGTGTGTCGCAACTCAAAACTACATGTATATGGTCACTGAGATTATTTTGACTTTTATGGCAATACTTATTATATAGTCAAAAAGTTCCAGATATTCATAGCATGCACACTATGTTATTTTTTAACTATAAATAGAATCTCATTTAAATTCCTAGAAAAAGAATTCATGACATCATATTCCTTTGAAAAAGTGTAATGAATTTACTGGATGATGTGTACTTGCACATGTGATATATTCCCTGTATCTCTGTCTTTCAGCTGAGGGACATGTCCTATTTCCTGATCATCATGTTGTTGGTGGTGATGAGTTTCGGAATCATCCGTCAGGCAGTACATTTCCAAAATGAGGAGCCATCTTGGTTCCTTGTCAGAAACATGTTCTTCTACCCTTACTGGATGATTTATGGAGAGTTGTTTGCAGATGAAATAGACAGTAAGTCTGAGTTTGGATTTTACATTTTGTGTAACCTTTGTTGTTCTATAAACTCTTGTTTGTTAATCTTCATAAAAACTTTTTTTTAAAAAAATGAAATAGCTAGTCTATAGATGTTTAACACAAAGATTTGTTTTTCAAGCAACATTTAATTACCTTAAGAGAATTACTTTTAAATAATTTGGGGAAAGATATTCTAATTAGATTAAGGAACTAAAGGCCAAACAGATATGTTAAACTAAAACCTGTTGATTTCAGCCTGCACGGACCCTGAACGTCACCCTAATGGCTGTGTGTATGGGTCGTGGGTGGCCCCGGCTTGTATGTTCGTTTTCCTTCTCATGTCCAATGTACTCCTGGTTAACCTGCTTATTGCCAGATTTAAGTAAGTACCAGGCAATAAAAGATAATCAAAACCATTAACTTATTCCATAATCCCAAAAAAATATTTTCTCTGAAAATGATGAAAAATGTTACAAGTCGGAAAAAATTGAACAAATAATTCATTGTATCATATGTTCATGAACTAAATTAAGATTAATTTATAACATTTTGTAATTTCAGTGCCACTTTCATACGAAACAATGCCAAGTCTCGGGAAATTTGGAAATTCCAGCGATACCAATTGATTGTAAAATATGAAATGCGCCCAATCTTGCCTCCACCTTTCACAATTATCAGCCATATTTACCTCACATTCAAGTACATCATTCGTCGCTGCAAAGGAAAGAGGGATTTCTTTGACAATGGGCTGAGTATGTTGTTTTCTTTCATTTTTGGCATTGAAAAATGAGATGAAGAAAGGGGTGGGGGGGGGGCTGGTCATATGTGTTTAAAGTAATTTGTTTTAAAGGTTTGAAAATTATACCAATAAAGTTAGAAAAGTATTAAATTCCTACTTTAAAAATATTAAATGCTAGACTAAAATCTGTTCATCTGTAAAATTATTCTCTAGGAATATGATCTCATATCCATGAAAATGGTAGCTGTAGATGGCATATATTGGGGGCATTCATATCTAAAACTTCATGAAGCTACTAGATGTGGACTTTAAACAGAAACTTTTTTTCCCTTTCTTACAGAGCTGTTCCTGTCACCTGATGATAAGGAGAAACTTCACGATTTCGAGGAAGAGTGTGTAGAAGACTACTTCCGTTACAAGGATTACAAATTCCAGTCCTCCTCAGATGAACGAATCAGGGTCATTAATGAAAGGTAATGTACTTCTACCGAATTTTGTCAGCTTAGGTTCATCATTGGAGCTCAAAATTGTCAGAATGTCTCTGAAATTACACACTGGTTTGAGAATTCAATTTGGGATAAGTCTCTTGATGCGAATGTGATGGATATAGTGCTTAGGAATAAAGTTTATTTCATCTTAGAATTTATGTATTTTACAGAGTTGAGAACATGGCAATGAGAATGGATGATGTCAATCAAAAGGAGAACTCTATCAAGCTTTCTCTACAGACTGTAGATTATAGAATGTCTAAGTTAGAGGAGGTAGCCCTACAGACCAACGAAACCCTGGCCCTGCTGAAAAACTACCTTTCTAGGAACGTCAGACATTTCAGTGGAGGGTCAGTGGAGAGTCAGGTTCATGAGCCCAGCTTGGTCAGCCAGGACTCCTTCATGGACAATGATATTGTAATCTATGATTCAGACACCCCCGCCAAAATCGACCCTGACCAGGACACCATATCCATGACAACTCCTGTTTTCACTCTGGGCAAGGACTCTCCCAGTCCTACACACAATGAATCTAATTCCACCATGAGAAGCATTCCATCACCATTGTTAGTTCATACTAAAAATCCGGTCAAGGAAGAACAGCTGAAAAAGTTTACAGATTATTCCAAGCATCCGCCCAGTCCTGCCAGACGCAAGTCACTGGAATACAATCTGAGCATAAAGGGCAAGAAAATGCTCCCTCAGTTACAAGAATCCAGTCCTATTATTGAATATGATGAAAGCCTTCCATTAACCCAGCGCAGACATGTTCCAACAGAACTAAATGTTAACATAGAGCTGGCTAATGCAGGTGTCCATGCTGCGTCTGCTGCCACACATGCTCCTGATGCAGAAATAAACAAAAATCAGTCAGCAGTATACACCACAGCATACATTACAGCAGAGACAAACATGACCACTGGGGCGCCGGGGAACATTTCGTACAACTATGCTGAAGATCAGATGAAGATGCCTGGTAGTGCCCGCGCTCCCACTTCTCCCAGAATCTCCATTACATCTGCTGTCTATGGCAACAGTAAAACAAATCTGCTAATCCCTGCTTCAGTTTCTCAGATGACTCCCATTCTCACTTCGATCAGTTCCGAGTACACCACCATCACAGATGAAATAGACACTTCCTGTGTGGTGGATACAAGTCCGTCAGCAAGTCCAACATCTGCGGGGACATTTTTCGGGGAGGGAACAACTGAAGGGGAGAAAAAGAGGAAACAATCTGAAGTTGTGATCGTGGAAAATGTTAGATTAAAAAATGCAGAGGAACTTCAACATAAAAAGATGGAACGCATTATACAGCACCGTCTACGTCAAATTTCTCTGGATGAAAGTGACAGGATCAGTGACATTGCAAAACTTGTAGTCAGTGAAATGGACACAGAAGGGGGGAGCACATCCGGACAGGAAGAGGAAGAAGATTCGGAGGATATCCACGGATCAGTGGAGAGTCTGGTACCTAATCAAGTCATGTCTGACGTTATCGAGATCAAGATAAGGAGGCCATCACAGGATACAGAACCCCGTGTATAATGATGGCTCTGCTTAGCTCCAAAACTACATTGCACGAATTTGTGTACATAATTTGTTTTTCAACATTTTTGTTTATATGTGTAAAATATGAATTTGATTTTTGCTATATATGTATATTTTTGCTATATATGTATATATTATATATTAATTGGTCAATTGTTCACAGATAAACTGGGGGAAAAAACCAAAAATTATATCCCCTTTCCATGCATAAAAGGGAAAATTTTGCATGTTGAAGCCATGGAAGACATATTTGTCATCATATGAAAGAATACTGCATTCATATAACAAAATCTGTAGCAGTGTATTTTTCAAAGAATTGTTTAGTAATTTTTTTTTTGGTTTTCAATTTTACTTAAGTGAAATGAAACCTTTATTCATTTTGAGGCCAACTGAATAGCTCAGGTGACCTACTGCTAACTGTGGTTGTAAACTCAGTGAGAAAGTATTTGTCTCTTTTGAAACTGTTGAACAAATTTCCAATATTTTCAAATTGTAGCATTATTAGAGATAAAGAGGAAACAAATCATGAATTTCAAAGTCCCTGTCCTCAATGGGTTTAAGCAAGGGCATCTCTACTCCTGGACACCTACAAAAACTTTTGAATTCATGGGCCTATAGGTTCAAGCTGGTGGAAAGGACTTAAAACAAAGTAACTTATGCCCTGTTCACACGGAGAGTTTAATTCGAATTAAACGTAAAGTTACTGCGAATTAGCTTCGCTAAATGTTCACACGGCCAATTTAATGCGAATTAGTTTAATTCGAATTAGTTTACTGCGCATTAAATTACTTTGCATTAGCTCTGTGTGAACGCTAAGTGAAGCTAATTGGAATTAAATTCTGACGCATGCGTAATGGCAAAATTAAGTCAAATGCCACTTGTCGGTGGTCAGCTATAGGTACTTGTGCTATTTTTGAGTGAAAAACTAAGGAAAATTTTGTTAATCATTAGAATGTGTATACAGACACTTTGCCATTATGTCAAATGGATTTGCTTCTGCATAAGGTGACGTGATTTGCAAATGACGTCATAATAGCCGTGCTGACGCCAGGCTGCAGAAATAAAATTTTAATTCACATTAGTTTACTTTGCATTAGCTGTCATGTGAATGCAATTTAATTTGCATTAGCTTGATTCGTATTAGTTTACTTCGCATTAATGTACTGCGAATTAAACTCTCCGTGTGAACAGGGCATTATATTAGGGGTTTACAATTTTTGAAGATGAAATAATCTGTCCATTTAACACAGACAGGTACTGAATCAAAGTTCATAGGTTAAGCTGCAAGGGTCTGTTACAACAATATTCCAAAGTCAGGTTATTGTAGGGAAAAGTATGAAGTTACCCCCAATGAGAGGGAAACAATAGGGGTTCCTTGCTGATGAAACAGTTACCGGTACTCATGAAAGATAATTCATAAAAATATCAGTCTCATCAAGGACATGGAGGGGGGAGGGGGCTTTAAAAAAAGTTTTTATTAAACAGACACCTGAAAAATGGCAAAGGGGGCACCTGTCTTAAAGAATCTGTAGAAATATTCCTGATAATTCACATGACCATCGAGGCCTATGGGCAAAAACAAGTAGTTAGATTGTGCAGTTTGTTTATATCGGATACTTTGTACAGTTTTTTTGATTGATGAGGAGACCTACTGGCTTCTGTATATTGGTTTTATGGGTGTGTATAGTGCATTAGAATACATTGTTTTAATATAACCATCTGACTGTGATAATGCTATCTTTGTCATTAAATCATAAAATAATGTGGACACTACTGATTTTTACCTCTGTATTGTAAAATATCAAACTGAAATATTTATTCTAATAAATACCATTAACTCGTTCATTTGTAATTTAAATAAATTCTTAGATCCCTTTCGAAAAAAAAGATTACTTGTTGAAAATGGAGCATTTTTGCTATATTACAATTGCTCGTAATAAAATGTGCTTTATTTCATAATATCGTTTGTAATATACCTGTATTCTTTTGGTAAATATATTGTGTGACATTAAATACATGTATAAATTTTTACTGTCTTCACTGGTGTGTGTAACTTGTGCATATTTCTGGAGGAATGCATATTTTTAATCTGCTTTATTATGGTATATTTTTATTCACAATAATATATTCACATTTAATACACAAATTGTAAATACAGTGTATATCTGTTTTTAATTTTATTATTTTGTTATGATGGTGTGTTCTTTATTATATACGAATTTGTATATGAATCAGAAAAATGCCAAATGCTTGTCTTCTCCGTCAGAGATTTAAGTTTATTATTTGTGTATAATGAGTGCTTCTGTTGATGCTATAATTTGGAGTTTTTCATTTATTTGAGTCAGATTGAATCTCTGCTAAGATAGCATAATAGATTTATAACTACCTGGCAAACGAAACAAATGTAAGCATTGGTGCCAAATTATTGTCATGTTGTATGAACACAGCAGAATCAATAATGACTTTATAGCATTTTGATGTGAACAAGTATATTTATTTGTATTATTTTATTATTTATTTGCAGTACTGAAAACTGAGAATATACAGTGTACAGTATATCAAATATAGAGGGTTATTTTGGTGGTGCAATAATTTATCTCCTTGTGCAGAGTTTGCAAGGTAATAACAAAACTAAATTCTTTTTATATTGATGATCTTAATTTGGGGCTTCAAAATCACCTGCTGAAGTAAACATTCCATCAATTTAACCCCCATATAGAATTTTATTCACAACACACAATAAAATGAGGGGAAAAAATTAGCCTGCTGGATTTACTGCATGGCTGCTGTTCATAACGATATAGTTTGATGTCCTTGTGCTAAATATTTTATATACACATAAGTGTTCAGCTTAACAACAGTTATTCTTATAAGTCATTGGTTTAAGAGAACCCAGATTGTTAGAATAAAACGATTGTTATAAAGCAGTAATAAAAATTATAAAAAAGCATTGCTCAGCCTTATTTGTTTTTGTAGGTTCTTCTCAGACTTTGATTTGTCATTTGACTTAACCAGCCAAATGTAATGTATTAATACAAGGGAAAGTAACTGTAGTGCAATATACAAAAAAGAAAATCTTATTGGAGCTGGCACATCTGCAGTAGTGGCAAGAGCCCAGGGCGCATTCAAAATATCAGCATTTATTTAACTCAGTGTAGAGCTAAAATCTTGAATGATATGCAAAAAGATGATTAAAATACTCCAAGGAACCAAGATACATAAACTGACAAATATGATGATTCTAAGCCAATTATCTGAAATATACAAATATAGCCATAAATTTCTAAAAGTAGATCACAGTGACCTACTTTTCAATGGACACACTTTGAGGACCCAAGATGCCTCGACTGACAATTTTTGATGATTGAGCCAATTAAATTCTGAAGTAGTTAAAAATACCCATACAATCCCAAAAGTAGGTCATGGTAATCAACTTTTTAAATGACACACTCTGAGATCCAAAGATGCGTCAATTAAAAAGTACTTCGATGATTTTATGCCAATTAGTATCCGTAGTAATTAAATATAGCCATAAAATTCTAAAAGTAGGTCACAGTGACCTAATTTTGGGGCATTGGAATACATCAAGTGACATTGTCTGATGATCGTAGGCTTTAAAGTGACTAAAATATGCCTCTAAAACAAATAAAAAAAAAATGAATGGCTGCAAATATAAAAAGAGGACACTGTGATCTACTTTTAATAAATATGTTATAAAGTCCAAGATGCGTCAACTTGCAAACCTCTCAGTCTCCCAAATAATGACCTTTTATGTTCAGAAAATGATGGGCCATAAAATTCATGGTGACCTACTTTTCGGTTGACACACTTCAATGCCCCATGACGTATAAACTGAGAAGTTTTGATGACAAACCTCAAAATTAAATTGAAAATAAATACATGTACATGCAAAGGTCAAAAAAGTAGGTCAAAATGACCTACTAGTACTTTTGAGTTAACTTGATATGCTTTCTTAAAATACTACAATTGACGAGATTTGATGATCCTAGTCCTTATAGTAAGTAAAGTATCAATAAAAAAAAATTGGTCAACTTTAATATGAATTTGAGACCCCGCCTTTTGCCCCAGGGTGATGCCTTGAACATTTATTTTTTAAACAAGTATATACTGACAAAACGTCAGAAATACTCAAGCTGTAGAAAGTCAATATAGGAAGTGTCATTAATATCCTAAAATGATATAAGATGAAGGCTATTGATCGAGTTCAATCTTCTATTGAATAAACTACATGTACATGAAACAAAATTCATATATTGAAGAAATATAATTAATCGAACTACTTCTTAAGATGAATTTACGTGACACACTTTCAAGAATATTTTATAGAGCATAGTAACGTTGCCGTTTCTTAATTGAAATATTCTACATTTTATTATACTTCAAACTATATACGATTTTTGTATTCTTTGCTTAATGACCAATATAATTATACACCAATCTAAATAGCTTGCTACAAGCCTGTAGAAAAGTTTTTCAAAGTGGAAGGGGGGGGGGGCTTCAAAAAATCTACGAAAGGCCAAAATATACCATCCTCTCCTACTCCGGACCGTAGCTTGAGACGATGGGGTTCATCTAGCTGAGCGGCATGTCCAAAACATCTTCCGTACGAATCCAAAAGAAGTTATTATAATATAGGTTACGTTACCAAAGCTTAAGATAATACGGAATTTAATATTGATTTTGTGCTATTATTTTACTGTCACTCAAAGTGCACATCATTTGCAGGCCCGTGAAAAGCAATTTCAGTTGGGGAATGGGGGTATACAGCCATACATTTTCTGGCTATGCACTGTAGAATTTGTTAACGATGGGGTAACCTGCGTCACCTTTCAGAGTCTGCAGTGGACTCCTCCAAGGATGCTTTGTCGGCGACTGTAAAAAGTTACCTGAGATTCCTACGCAAAGAAAAGCGCGAAATCTCTGTATAGAAACACTGTTGCAGCTGCAGCTTCATTCATTCGCCATAGAATAGAATCCGATATTTAACACTTAATATCTTTGAATATACAGACGTTTTCAAGATAAGCTTCATTTTTGTGACATATTTTTGTGTTTTTAAACTGAGACTAGCATCGTTTTAGGATGCATCTTTGTGTGTAAGTTTGGTGATAGTCTGTCCAGTGGTTCTCAAGAAGAAGATTTTTGGGCAATTGCTACTTTTGTTTTGATTTCCCTAATTATTCCCCTTAGTGAAAGGGTCACATCTCTAGTTTAGGTATAAATGAGAGCCCTTGGACCAAGGATACTCTTTGACATATTGACAGAGATTGGATGAGGGCTTTTGAGATATGGCCCATATTCTAAGAAGTTGATGCACACTGCAAAATGGCCATGGCATTAGCTCTTCAAGCCTTGGCCGAAAAGAAATTAAAAAAAAATAGGTCATGGTGACCTACCCTTTTAGTTTACAAACTTTAAAGACCCAGGATGCATTTAATTACTCTAAGTCATTTATTATCCAAATACATGTAATTTGATATAGCAATGGAATATCAAAATGGAACGTTCATGATCCATTTTCAGCTCACCTGAGCCAAAGGCTCAAGTGAGCTTTTCTGATCGCCTTTGTTCGTCCGTCTGTCCGTCAAGAACCACTGGGTCAATTTTTTTGGAAATTGTTAAAATGAAGAGTCAAGTCCCCTTGCAAGGAGAGATAATAATAAAAAAAAAGACAAAAATAGGATGGGGTCATTAAAAAATCTTCTTCTCAAGAATCACTGGGATAGAAAAGCTGAAACTCATGTGGAAGCATCCTGGTGTAGTGTAGATTCTAAATTGTACAAATCATGACCCCTATGGGTAGGGAGGAGCCACAATAGGGAATCAAAGTTTTACGTAGAAATATATATAGGGGAAAAAAATTTAACCTTATTCTCAAGAACCACTGGCCAGAAGAGTTGAAACTTATGTGGAAGCACCCTAGGGTAGTGTCTAAATAGTTAAAATCATGATTCCCGGGGGTAGGGCGGAACCACCATAAGGAAGGAAAGTTTTTACATAGAAATACATGTATATAGGAAAAAAAAATGAAAAGCTGAAACTTATATTGAGGTATCATGGGGTAGTGTAGATTCTAAATTGTTAAAATCATTATCTCTGGGGGAAGGGCGGGCCACAATAGGGAACTTAAGTACATTGAAATATTTAGGAATAATCTTAAAAATCTTCTTGGGAACTTCTGGTCCAGAAAAGGTCAAACATATGCGAAAGCATCCCTGGGTAGTGCAGATTTTAAATTGTCCAAATTACGACCCGTGGGGTAGGGTTGGGTCACAAAAGGTATTACAAAGGGAAAATCTGGTAAAGAACAGCATGGTCAAAGCTATTCAGGTGAGCGATGTGGCCCATGGACCTCTTGTTTTTCAATAACACACTCCAAGGACACAAGATGCATTAACTGCACAAAATTTAATGATTCTAAGCCATACGTATCTAAAATATTCAAATATAGCCATGAAATTGCATAAGTCACTGTAACCTACTTTTTGGTTGATATACCGGTCTTGTAGAGTAGGCTTCCCCCCTAAAATCTTTCCCCCCGGAAACTGGCTCTAGAGTAGAATTTCCCCCAGGAAAACTGGCTCTAGAGTAGGACCCCCCCCCCCGGGAGAACTGGCTATTGAGTAGGATTTCCTCTACGGAAATCCCACACCAACATCAATTTTCCGGGGGGAAATCCTACTCTGTGTAGTAGTTATAGAGTGCGATTTCCCCCAGAGCCACCCCCCCCCCAATGAAATATAATTGCAGTACTTATTTTTGAGGAGGAATGGTTGGCACATTGCTACAAGTATACCCCTTCTTCAAAATGGCGACCAGATGTATTAAACATATGTATACGAAAAATGAACAAAACATTATTGCCATTAAACGCAAAAATATTACTGCGTTTAAACGCAATAATTATTGCGTTTAATCGTAAAAGAATTGCGTTTAAACGCAATCTTTTGCGATTAAACGCAAAATGGGTGATAATTACATTGTGCTCCATTATAATTTTTCATGCGAGATGAATTACAATGAATTTGCTTTCATTTTAAAGATACAAGTCATATAGATTAAATACCCGTTGATTTTGAATGTCGTTTGACATTTTTGGTTCTTTTTAGCGCATATTTGGGGTAGGACAATAATGTCTGAAAATAATCCATTTTTAGCATTTCACACTGCTTTTGCACGTGCTCCTCTGTAAAAATAAGCATATAAAGGTATTGTTTTTAATCCCTAAAAATTAAGAGCAAGTGGTCAGGAAAGAAATGTCAAAGTTTTGAAAATTCATACAGAGACTTTTCGGACATAGGTCCCCCCATAATGCAATAATTATTGCGATTAAACGCAATAAAAAATATTTCTTTCTCTGAACTGGCCTCAACGGGCTTCCGTAGAAGAAAACACTCATTTATACCTCTTAAAAATCAGACGTTTATCTTTTTTTTCGCAAAAATATTGCGGCTGTGGTTTATATACTGACTCTATAATAATGGGGGGGATCCTACTCTAAGAAAGAAAGAGGGGGAAATTTAGCTCTGGTGTGAGATTTCCCCTTGGGGGGGGGGGGGAATTCTACTCTAGAGTACGATTTCCGGGGGGAAAACTGGCTATGGGGGAAATCCTACTCTACAACACCGATACTTTCAAGGCTTAGGATGCATGAACAGACAAGTGCATCGGTATCCTGCATGGGCCCAAGGGCCTTTGCTTATGGATGTGATAAATATATTAGTATATGAGCAGTTTGTCTCAAAATTTATATTGTTGTGTGTCAAAAGATGTATTAGGTTTTCAGTAAGTTTATCTTAGTTTTGATATTTTTGTCCCCCGCTTGAAAAGTGGGGGATATTAATTTGGGTTTGTCCGTCCGTCCGTCTGTCCGTCTTTCTGTCTGTCTGTAACGCTTTCGTTTCCACACGATATCTCGAGAACCCTTTGAGCTTTCGCTATGAAATTTTGCACAGCAACTCCCTATGGACTAAAGAAGACCCCTATTGATTTTGAGGTCAAAGGGTCAAAGTTCAAGGTCATAAATTCGCAAATTCTGTCTGTTATAACACTTTCGTTTCCACACGATATCTCGAGAACCCTTTGAGCTTTTGCCATGAAATTTTACATAACAACTTCCTATGGCCTAAGGAAGACCCCTATTGATTTTGAGGTCAAAAGGTCAAAGTTCAAGGTCGTAAATTTATACATTCTGTCTGTGTGTAACACTTTCTTTTACAGGCGATATTTCAAGATTTTGAGTTTTTGCAATTGAATTTTATACCAAAAGTCCCTAAGATCTCTATCGCCCATCTCAAAGTGTCCCGCCCCGTTTGTTTTAGAAGTATTTATTGTATTACATGTCGCTATTTTTAGCACAGGGACATGAGGAGAGTTATTACGTATAGAACAGGTTCTCGGCGGACTCTATATTCTTACTACATCTATTAGAACTGTTTAATAAAGGTTAAATTAGACACAATGCATTGTGTTAAATTTTGAAAATATATACATGTATGTGACTTCATCTTTGTATATACTAATAGTTTAAATAAACAGTGGGGAGTAGAGAGGCTTCGTGGCGTAGTGGTATGTCTCTCGCTTCATGTGCGGGAGATCCGGGTTCGAGTCCAGGACGACGTATATTCTTTATTTTTCTGAATTTTTTTTTTTTTAACTAAATGATAGTATTCAACATGTGAAATGAAAAATTTATAAGGTGTGGCTTCTACAAACTCATAGAATCATCATCACAGAGTGATAAATATTCCATATAAAAAGAATCTTCTATACTCATAATAAAGAATAAGCAATCAAATCTTTATATCCATATTGGCATATTTTATTTGCTTCAGTATGTGTACATGTATACATTTAATATTTTTTCAACTTAAGTCAGGGGGATCCGACAACCCCCCTCCTCGAACTGCGCATGGTATACTTTTTCCCTAAGCGGGGGACACAAATTCTCTGAATTAGCTTGTCTCCCTAGAATTAAGTAGCAAGCATTCTGCAATATAAATTATTTAATTTAATTAACTTTATTTTGATACGAAGATTTTTAATAATGAGAGGGTTGATAAAGGTTTTGCTTGTACCCCAGTCTTTATTGAATTTATTGAATAAAATATGTTTAAATTAGAGTTATTTTGATCGTTCAATGTTAGAACTTATCTTTGTAAATTTAAGTGACATTTTCCCAATTCCCTACTGTAATTATAGTTAATTTTAAAATAATTTTAAATAACACTGGGCCAGGAAAGATAAAGAAAGAAAAAAATTCTTTAAAATCTTCCTGCTAATAAAAAACTAGAGTCTCTGTGAGCATTGAACTCACTAAATGATACCCCCGCCTCATATATGGTTATAGTGGCAAAGCCCATGATTTGCTCTGGGAGACTAGAAATAAGTGTCAGCTCACTTGGTGGAGAGTTTCATAATAGTATAAAACTTTGGATGTTAACATTGAAGTAGCAAGGTTTTGCATGCTAGCGTCAGCCCTAGTTTCTTTATAATGGGTTGCTGTATTTAAGATACTACACATCAAATTTATTGATCCAAAGCTACACTCCCCCAAAATTAAGTTTCGACCGATTATTCGGTTAACCATATCAAAAATTTTGAATGTACCATAACTTTTTAGCAGAAATGGGAATGGTGTAACTAAAGTTTATAAGATTCATAAAGCTCAAAAAGATTGACAGAAGAAACTGTTTTCCGGACTAAATTTGAGTAATGGAGGAAAATCGGGTGTCTTTTTCCTTAGGGTACCCATCATGTTAGACAAGTTATTTATTCTAAATATCAATTATCAGGGTTTTTTTTTCAATTAGATGAACAAAATGCTTTGTTCAGTGATTTCGCAAAAAATGCACTCTAATAAAGCACTTTTTAAATCAATCTAAAGTATCTGCATAGTCTTCTGATACTTTCTGATAGAATTAGCAGCATCTGTCATTTTGGCCCGGTCGTAGATTCTAGTTTTATCATGCTAATAAGTACATTGTACTTAAAATAGAATTTATTTGTGTTTTGAAATAAGATTATATATTTTAATAATATTTCATCAGTAATGTTTTGATTTATTTCTTTGAAAACAAAGTAATAGCTGGTAATTTAGATTTATATTCCTTAAAAAAATACTCAAAACTGTATTGATATTAACCGTACAACATACACTGTATGATTGAAAAGGATAAAACTGTGTCTTATTAATATGTACAGTAAAAAAAAAGCACTCTAGGGGGGAAAAAACTAAATATGTCTCACATGCAGAGGTAATCATCTCAGTCTGAGGTGTGCTGACAAGAGGAAAAAGACGTTTCGTGACCAGAACCAACCCCACTGGATGTACGTATCTTAGTGGATTTGACCTTTGGTTTTCTGAGATGAACACGGCACAGAAACAAACGCTTCAGCTCCATCCTAAATCTTTGCCCTGTGATTCCGTAGATGAAGAAATTCACAGCATGGTTAATATACATCAGTATAAAGCTCAGTGTACGGACAAAGAGTGCCTCCGCTTGTTTTTCAGTACTTGTTGGTGTCTTCATAAGTAATTGGTAAAGTGGCCGTGGCAAAGTTGTGAAGATCCATGTAAAGGAAATGACAAGTAAGCAGATAGCCAGTTTTTGGTGATCGTAACGCATCTGTTGGTCAGTTTTGGTCATGGCTTGAAACAAGGATTTGGTCTTGACTAGGTTTACAATAATCAAAGTGTTGAATAAAAGCAATACTAACACAGGGAGAAAGGAGTACAAAACGAGATATATCCAGGGAAAAACTACACAGACAAGGTTCTGATAGGCATAGGACATACATCTAACCTGGCCGCTGGGTAATGAGTACAGTTCAGCTGTCCAGAATATATGACTGTTGATTAAGATGAAGATCATTGCAATCATTGCTGTGGCAAATTTGGCCCTCGCCAGACTGCACATCGTTGTGGCTCGAAGTGGAAACCACACAGCCAAGAAGCGCTCTACTGTAATAGCAACAATCAACCAGGCAGAAAAATGGACAAAGAAATGGGTCAGAAATATCAAGATCTTGCAGGCAGCATCACTCTGGTGTAGCAGTTCATATCCAGTTAGTACTCTAAACCAAGTTTTGAATGCACTTAGGTACAGGACTCCAGTGTCAGCCACCGCTAGTGTGGCCAAGTAGAAAAATGTAGAGGTCTGTCGCATTTCTCTTTGTACCAAGATAACAAAACTCATTACATTTCCAAATGTTCCAACAAATATGATGATAGGGAGCACATACCTTATCAAGTCTATGGCCAGAGCATAGAAAGGCTCCATTTCCAAGTCCTGTGAAAAGTAAAGTTTGGTTCCATTAATTCCCGTAAGGTTTGCTGTGAACAATGCTGTATCGTTCAAAATAGTCTCCATATTTGTAGATTTGTCTTGTAGAAATCTACATGTATTTGTTGATGCTGGATTGTCTATGAAATAATTTTTGCAGAAAATCATTCCTTATTAAATACTGGAGCTCTAATAATTATTTCAATCTTCAGAACTTAAAAAAATTCAAAAGTGAGAATTGACAGTTCGTGTCAACTCCTACGAATATGTTAAATGCACTGGTGGTCTTAGAATATTGATAAGATTATATAGTTTTCAAAGTCCATTGCAGATGAAGCGAATAGTTAATCTGTATCTGTTTAACTGCAATATGCAGCTTTTAATTCATTGCAGTTTCCAATAGCAGTTGTCAGCAGCAGCACAGTGCGAGTTGAGAGTGGAATATTTGACCCATGTTCTTTTGTTAATAATTGTAGATATTTATTATAGATTTGCTTTGTTCTTCTTTTTGCAATTTAAATTTTCACAGTTTACCCATTTTTAGCTCACCTGAGCTGAAAGCTCAAGTGAGCTTTTCTGATCACCCGATGTCCGTCGTCCGTCCATCTGTCCGTCTGTCTGTAAACTTTTGACATATTTCAACTTCTTCTCAAGAACCACTGGGCCAAATTTAACCAAACTTGGTACAAAGCATCCTTGGGTAAAGGGGAGATTAAATTGCTAAATGAAGGGCCAAGTCCCTGTACAAGGGGAGATAATCATGAAAAGACAAAAATAGGGTGGGGTCATTAAAATCTTCTTCTCAAGAACCACAGGGCCAGGAAAGCTGAAACTTATGTGGAAGCATCCTGTTATAGTGTAGATTCTAAATTGTTAAAATCATGTCCCCCGGGGGTAGGGCGGGGCCACAATAGGGATTCTAAGTTTTACATAGAAATACATAGGAAAAATCTTTTAAAATCTTCTTCTCAAGAACCACTGGGCCAGGAAAGCTGAAACTTATGTGGAAGCATCCTGTTATAGTGTAGATTCTAAATTGTTAAAATCATGTCCCCCGGGGGTAGGGCGGGGCCACAATAGGGAATCCAAGTTTTACATAGAAATACATAGGAAAAATCAAAATCTTCTTCTCAAGAACCACTGGGCCAGGAAAGCTGAGACTTATGTGGGAACGTGTGGGGTAGTGTAGATTCTAAATTGTTAAAATCATGACCCCCGGGGGTAATGCGGGGTCATAATAGGGAATCAAAGTTTTACATAGAAATATATAGGAAAAATCTTTAAAAATCTTCTTCTCAAGAACCACTGGGCCAGAAAATCTTAAATATATGTGGAAGCACCCTGGTGTAGTGTAGATTCTAAATTGTTCAAATTATGACCCCCAGGGTTAGGGGGGTCACAATAATTAAGGGGCCAAACTTTTGCAGAAGAATACATAGTGAACACTTTTCCTTGAGAGCCACGGGAGCAACACGATGATACTTCTCTGAAAGTTTTCTAAAATAGTGAAGATAGTGAAAATTTTGGCACATTACCCCTCCAGGATAAGGTGTGGCCACATTAGGGTTTCAAGATCATATATCTGAAAATAACAGTATTTAAATCCTGCTCAGATGAGTAACAAAGCAGTTCATGTCATAGTATATTGGAGCGTTGTATTTAAGTTATTAGTAGTGTTTTTTTTTTTAAATTTTATATCTGTATGCCAAAACAACACCGAGCTTAGAACAGATGTTGTGCTATACCTCCCCCCCCTACTTTTTAGCTCACCTGAGCCAAAGGCTCAAGTGAGCTTTTCTGATCACAATTTGTCCGTTGTCTGTTGTCGTCGTTGTTGTCGTCGTCGTTGTCGTCGTTGTAAAGTTTTCACATTTTCGACTTCTTCTCAAGAAACGCTGGGCCAATTTCAACCAAACTTGCCACAAAGCATCCTTGGGTGAAGGGATTCAAGTTTGTTCAAATGAAAGGGCCACGCCTTCATTCAAGGGAAGATAATTGGGAATGAATGAAAATTTGGTGGTATCTTTTAAAAATCTTCTTCTCAAGAACCACTGTGCCAGGAAAGATGAAACTTATGGGGAAACATCCTCAGGTAGTGTAGATTCAAGTTTGTTCAAATCATGACCCCCAGGGTAGGGCGGGGCCACAATGGCCGACCAAAGTTTAACATAGAAATATATAGGAAAATTCTTTAAAAATCTTCTCCTCAAGAGTAACAAAGCCATAATTGATCATATTTACATGGAAGCATCCTCGGGTAGTGTAGATTCCAGTTTCTTCATATCATGACCCCCGGGGGTAGGGCGGGGCCACAGTGGCCGACCAAAATTTACATAGAAATGTATAGGAAAATTCTTTAAAAATTTTCTTCTCAAGAATAACAAAGCCATAATTGATCATTCTTATATGGAAGCATCCTCAGGTAGTGTAGATTCAAGTTTGTTCAAATCATGACCCCCGGGGTAGGGTGGGGCCAAAATGGCCGACCATAGTTTTACATAGAAATATATAGGAAAATTCTTTAAAGATCTTCTCAAGAATAACAAAGCCATAATTGATCATATTTATAATGAAGCATCCTCAGGTAGTGTAGATTCAAGTTTGTTCAAATCATGACCCCTGGGGTAGGGCGGGGCCACAATGGCCAATCAAAGTTTGACATAGATATATATAGGAAAATTCTTGAAAAATCATCTTATCAAGAATAGCAAAGCCATGATTGGTCATGGGACTACTTTTGGATATAAACTATTCAATAATAAACCAATTTCTACTTTTCCCAGCCACAGTGCTCAGGTGAGCGATGTGGCCCATGGACCTCTTGTTTTATATTTATCTCCAGAGACTGAAGTTTTAGGTGCATTTCATTTCTGGAGAGGATGCTTCAATATATTTGTGTGTACAACTTTGATGTTGACCATATAACTATTAGCTATGTGGAAAACCTAATCTTTATGAGAATTAAATGGTTATTTCCATTCTTATGTCGATATGACATATCTCGGTGAGTCTGAGATAAAAGATACCACAGAGTCTGACACATCTGTTCATATTTGGATATTTCACTTGAAAAAAGACGTTGATGTAATCTAACAACCAAGCTTTAATTATGATAAATGTAATGACTTTGACTTTTCAATTGTCGACTGCCCTTACTTATGCAGCAATATACCTTCATCACCTGTATGCAGTGTTTATATCTCTCAGTTGATTCGACACGCAAGAGCATGCTCTACATATGTTAAATTTCTAAAACGAGGTAAATAATTGACAAACAAGTTGATAAAACAAAAATATCAGCAGTTTCGTTTATAGCCATCATTTCTTAAGTTCTATGGTCGATACAATGACCTTGTCAGCAAATACAAGTTAGCATTGAGTTAATTATTAACTGACGTTTATCATACTAATTGTTAGGCCATTATTTACATACTGAATTGTCGACGAACTTTCCCGTTATATCCCAAACATGATAAGGAGCACAAGGTAGGTGTAGCCGGTCGCCAGGGGATGTTCACTCCTCCTTGATCACACCTCTGATGTTTTAGAGGTCCGTGTTTGCTCTGCTCCTATTTTGTATTGTTTAATGGACCTTGAGCTTGACTACTGCTCGTTATCTCCATATATTTATACCCCCCGCTTGAAAAGCGGGAGGGTATATAGTAATCGGTATGTCCGTCCGTCTGTACGTCCGTCTGTCTGTTACGCTTTGGGGTACCCATCTCTTATCCTCAACTCCTCTCATACCACCAAAGGAAATTTGATGAAACTTTCACGTAATCTTTATTACATATTGCCAATGTACATCTCCTATTTTACTTTTTGATCCAAGACATATTTTGGGTATTGCCACAGCAAAACATAGACACTGCCATTATCACTGTCGTGATCCCGTGCCGGATTGGACAAAACAAGATGGCGGCGGGAACAAATCGAAAAAGGTAGGTACCTGAGATTTCGGTAAATATCCCCCATTAACCGTCAGATGTGCTTGATTCGAAGATACTGTCGAATTCTTAGTAAAATGCTTATTAGTGTGTTTAATTGCTACTTCTCTTATCGTCTCTTAAACTTGAACATTTAACGACTGAAGACTGCAGAATTTCTCCGACTGAGTTTGAAGCGGCATGGAGTTGTTTTTTTCTTCGATTTTGACAGTTTTATGCATCCAGCAGCAGGAGAGTGGCTAACAAATGATACTTTGGAGTAATTCTGACCTGGTGTTATATGTTTATTTGTTATAACCCGTTTTATTACAAAAATATTTCGATTTAAAAATGTTGACATGTGCTGGATTGGAATCGGTTAATTTTAATGGAAATTGTGCCGGATTAGACTGCATTTTTGGTGCCGGATTGGATGATGTTCATGATAGTCATTTATGTAATAACTTTTTTTCTCTTTTTTTAAGCTATGGATGCGTAGTTCAATGAAATACCAGGAGGAATTTAATAAAGCTTATCTAAGCATCTGCACTCAGGAGTTTTGTAGAGATGACACTTTACAAGCACATAAGAATTGACCATGAAGCAGCAGAGAGGTATCGATGCATTATCTACGGCAGCTGCTACAGGTGGAAGTACAACCTACGACGGTACATGTACATCAAAAACAGGCATAGAGAAATTCAGAAAGTCCGAGGTACAGACACTGACCAAAATATTTTTAGGATCTTAGATAGGTATATCTGTGATTATTTCAAATTCAAAACAATTGTACTGATTTCTCTCATTCATATGGTTTCAAAGGTTTTTTTTATATTAATTTTCTTTCACGCATTCTACTTTTTTTTGGTTTGTTATCGTTAGACACAAAAAATGTTCATGACTGTTATTTTACTAAATTTCAACAAAAAATGTCCGAAATTTTCTTCGTCTTTTTTGAATATCTCTTCCCCGTAGTAGATAAAGGAATGCCTTTGTCTACATTGACACTTTTTTCTAGCAAGTTACTATTTTACTAAAATTTATTGTAAACAATTTTACGGTAAGTTCATTTAACTTGCCGTATAACAGAAGAAACATTTTGACTTTGTTTTCTGAAATACAATCAAATCTGAAATTCTAGTATTCTACTCGATCATATTCATG